GCAGGTGACTCAAGAAAGGAAAGACAAGGCTGTCCCTGGAAGAAGCAGAATGGGGTGAGGTCCCTGGTACACAATGGCAAGGCAGGAAGCTGTTGTGTTTCCCATGCCCAGCTCTGCCTGATACTATGGAATGCTAGTTGAGAATGTTCTAGGGGTTCCTGTGTGGGTGGGATGAGGACCTAGACATGTCCTAAGGCTGCCAGGGCAAGCATGGGCTCTTCTACAGAAGGGAGGAGGAGTCACAGATGGGAAGAGAGCAGGGTGTCAGCCCCCAAATCTCCCAGGGTCCCTGTACCTTTATAGAGAAGAAGGGCTGGAGGGGAGATGGGCAGCTGCAGGGGAAGGAGATGCTGCTGGGTGGGAGGCAAAAGTAGTGGAAAAAGCAGGGGCTGTGGAGTCCAATGGGCCTGGATTCAAATCCTGGCTCAGTACTTCCTAACTCAGTGAAATCTTGGCTCAATACTTCCTAGTTCAGTGACTCTAGGGAATTGATTAGTAGATGGGCCTCAGTTTCCTCAGATATGAAATGGAGGTAGTAATGCCTACCTGATGGAATTGTGAAAGGGTTCACTCACCCTCCAGTGCAGGGATGCCTGCCAGAGCAGGTGGGAGTGAGGGCACTGACCCTGGCCTAGGCAGAAGCTCAAGGTAAGAGGAGCTGGGTTGTCTTGCTGAAGGTCCATTGAAGGCATTCTTTTCTTTCTTTCTCTTTTCTTTTTTGGCAGTACTGTGGTTTGAATTCTGGGCTTCGCTTTTGCTAGGCAGGTGCTCTACCGCTCATGACTCAGGCCCCGAAGGCATTCTTGAGCCTGCTTTCCAGCCCCTGGTCTCAGGACAAGATCTGAGTCTTTAGTTTTTCACTCAGTTGTGGATTCTTTTAGTTCTAGTGTTAACTCAAAGCCTCTGCCTCCTGTTAGAGAAACTTCTAGCGTCAAGGAGTTAGGAAGGGAGAGATCTGTTTGTTGAGAAGGTGATATGGGAGTCCTTCCTTCCTTAAGCCAACAAAAGAGAGAAGTGACCTTGGGGAGTGAGAGTGTCTGTATGGAGCCTGACCTCTTCTGGAGGCCTTGTCACAGTGTGTGGGGGAACCCAGGGCTGGGACACAGCTGTGCTTGGGTCTGGGCTCATCAGCCTCTGCTCTGGAAGACGCAGGAGGGGGCTGGATGGGATGAGTAGCACTGAGGGGGAGCCTGACCCAGGGACAGCATGGGGCTCAGTGAGGAAGAGTAGAGTTGGTAATGAGTGAGGGGGGTATAGGAGGCAGCAGAGGGGTGCAGGGGGGAGGAAAGGGAAGCCCAACTGGAGAAGTGGTGGCTTGTGTCATGGAAGTAACTCCATTCTTCCTATATGATCTTGAAAAAGGCTGTTGACTTCCCCAGGCTTCAGGTTTCTGTCTATCTTTTTCTTCTTTTTCCTTTTTTTTCTTTTGCAGTACTGGGCTTGAACTCAGGGCCTTCACCTTGAGCCACTCCATCAGCCCTTTTATCATGATGGGCATTTTTGAGATAGGGTCTTGAGAACTATTTCCCTGGCCTGGCTTTAAACCATGATCCTCCTGATCTCTGCCTCCTGAGTAGCTAGGATTATAGGTGTGAGCCACTGGTGCCCGGCCTTTGTCTATATTCTTGGTAGGCAGTGGTCTCTTCACTTTGTGTCCCTGTTTCCTCTTCTCACTCTCCCAGAGTACAGATGAGGAACTGAGGGCAAGATTCAGAAAGATTGGGTTTCTTACCCAATACTCCATAGCTAGAAAGTGTGAAGCTGGCCAAGTGCTGGTGGCTCACGCCTAGAATCTTAGCTACTCAGGAGGCAGAGATCAGAAGAATCAAGATTTGAAGTCAGCCTTGGCAAATAGTTTGAGACACCCTATCTTGAAAATATCCAACACAAAACAGGGGCTGGTGGAGTAGCTCAAGTGGTAAGAGTGCCTGCCTAGCAAGCCCTGAGTTCAAACCCAGTATGCCAAAAAAAAAAGAAGAGTGTGCTGCTGGGCCACTACAACCCAAGTCCCACTGGCTCTGGCTCTGGTGGTCTTTCTGGGATGGAATGGAGGACTACCTGTCCCACTTCCTGGCTATGCTACCTTGCACAACTCACCATGCCTCAGGCTTTTCATCTGGAAAAGGGAATGACAGCTAACAGGGGTAACACTATACTGAGGTACCCTGGAGATTAAAGTAAATAATGCACATTCTAATCCCATGGTATCTGGCTCCCAATAAGTGTTTAATAAATGCTACCTATTGTTGCTATTCTTTAAGTTACCAATATCAAATAAGTCTCTCAGGTGGCCAAATACATACCTTGACCTAAGCTTCATCTTCTCCTGGGAGGTGATGAGGGTCCAGGGTAAGGTGCAGTTGGCTAGACTTTTAGGGTGGAGATGGAGACAGAGCTGAATGGAGGACGTGGAACCCTTGCTAGCATTTGTGAGGCTCTGAGTTCGATCCCCAGCATCACACACAAAACAAAACAAAGACCATATTTGTATCCCACCCCAGAGTCACTATCCCGAGTCTCTGAAAAGCAGGGAACTGCCCTGGTACTTGACTTTTGTGTGTGTGTGTGTGTGTGTGTGTGTGTGTGTGTGTGGCACTGGAGTTTGAACTCAGGGTCTCATGCTTGCCGGTAGGCACTCTACCACTTGAGCCACTTCACCAGCCCTTTTTTTGTGATGGGGTTTTTTGAGATAGGGTCTCGTGAACTATTTGCCCAGGGTTGGCTTGGAACCAAGATTCTCCTGATCTCTGCTTCCTATGTAGCTAGGATTGCAGGAGTGCACCACCAGACTTCTTAAGTGAGGTATAATTTACACATATAATAATATGAACTGCTTTAAGTGTTCACTAACTTGACAGTCAAGATACTGAACTTTTCTAGGCAATTCCTTGTCCACCATCATTTTCTGAATTCCATCACCACCAATTAGTTTGGTCTGCTCTTAGACTTCATATAAATAGAATCATACAAGATGTATTTTCTTGTCTGTGTGTCTGGTTTATCTTCCTTAATGTTTCTGAGTGTCATCCATGTGTTTTTCCATGCATTAGTTCCTTTTTATTGCTGATGAACATTTGGGTTGTTTCAAGTTTTTTGATTCTTACAAAGAAAAATGCTATGAACATTCATGTACAAGTCTTTATGTTTTCATTACTCTTGGGTAATACCTGAGAGTGGAATTAGTAAAATACCCAAAAGTGACATTTCTAGATTATTAAGGTTTTTTTTTTTTGGTGGGATCAGGATTTGAACTCAGGGCTTCACACTGCAAAGCAAGTACTCTACTGTTTGGGTCACACCTCCAGTCCATTTTGCTCTGGTTATTTTGGAGATGGAATCTCATGAGTTATTTGCCCAGGCTGGCCTTGAATCTTGATCTCTGCCTCCTGAGTAGCTAGGTTTACAGGTGTAAACCTCCAGGGCCCAATGAGATATTTTTCTTATAAGAAGAAAAACTGTGCCTACACCATGGTCATAACGATATCTTCCATTTTCCAAAGTTTTTATGGTTCTTAATTTTATATTTAGTTCTCACCCATCTTGAATTATTTTTGTGTATAGAGTAAGGTGGAGGTTAAGGTTTTTTTCCTACCTAGTAGTTCCATTACAGTTGGTTAAAATAATTTATTTATTTATTTTTTGTGTACTGGGGTTTGAACTTAGGGCCTCACACTTGCTTGGCAGAGAGGCGCTCTACCACTTGAGCTACTCCACCAGCCCTTTTTTTGTGTTGGGTATTTGTCTATGTTTTGAACCTTGATCCTCCTGATCTCTGCCTCCTAAATAGCTAGGCATGAACCACTGACACACCACAAAAGAATTTTTTTCTGTTTTCCACACGGAATTCAATCAGTGCTTTGGCCAAAAATCAGTTGACCATAGTGAATTTCTTTCTGGACTTCTGTTCCATTTATTATCTGTTCTTACTCAGAACCACACTGTTTTGGTTACTGTGGTTTTATACTAAATATTAAGGTCAGTTAGTATAAACGCTTCAGCTTTGCTTTTTTTCCTAAAATTGTTTTAGCCATTTTAAGTTCTTTGCATTTCCATAAAAGTCTTAGAATCAGTCTGTGGATTTCTTAAAAATGTCTACAGAAGTTTTGGTCGGCATTGAGTTGTGAATCCAAAGATCAATTGAAGAGACAACTCTCTCATCCAGAAACATCAGTATCAGTGTGCTTATTTTGTCTTTGATTTCTTCAGCAGGGATTTCAATGTGCTTTTTAGTGTAGAGATCTACATCTTTTGTAGATTTATTTCTTGTTATTGGATACTGTGTTACTTAACATGGTGTTATTTTGTGATTTCATTTTCCGTTGTTTTGTTGCTAGTATGTAGAAGTACCATTAATTTTTGTACATTGGTTTTGTATCCTGAAACCTTGCTTATTAGGACTAAACGTTTGTTTTTTGTTAGATTGTTATCCTAAGGCCCAGCTGTGTGGACTTTCATCCTGCAGATGGTAATAGGGCCAGTACTGAGAAGGAATGTGAGGATTTATACTGAGCAGTGTTTAATTTATAGTGTTTGGGCCCTACCCGAAATCGGGAGGGGATAAGGTGAGTGCAGCATCCGGTGTTTTTACTCTAAAAGTGCAGCTGAGAACCCTTGGTTTAGAAGGTGCCCGGTGCAGACACGGGCCCATATGCCACCCTCCCCTGAGGCCATCAGGGCAGGAAGACCAGCGCACCGCGGGCCTGGGAGTGACTGGGTTAAGGATGACCCCTTGGGAACAGGCGAGTGGGAGAAGGCCGCCCCACAAACAGGAGCTTCTCTTTCAACAGCAGGAGGCAAAAAATGCCGTCCTGGCAAAGCCCCGATGTGTCCCCTACTGCCCTAGCGGACACCCCTGTCTACACCTCCTCCTCGGTGGGATGGCCCTAGTCACCACAGCGATCCCCGCAGGCTTCCCGGGGATGACCCGACCTCGCCGGTTACAGATGAGGTCACTGAGGCTCGGAGAGGCCGCCCCTAGTGCAACCCTTTCCCGACTCCAGGTACGCTGAAATTAAGGGGGACCTGGAAGAGCTGGACCGCATCACGGAGCAGACGCTCTTTGACCTGTACAAATATAATTCCTCCAACACCCTCCTGACCCGAGTCCGCGGCCGTCGCGACCTCCGGGAGCCTCTGCCGTATCCCCTGCAGCGCCTGCCAGTTCCGGACCCGCCCCACAAGCCCATGAAACGCGCAGCTCAGCCTCCAGCATGCGGGACAACAATCCCCAAGTGGACAGGAAGGACTGGAGGATCGGCTTCCAACTGGTAAGGCCCGCCCCCGAGGGCCTGGCCCCGCCCCCAGGCCCGCCCCCGAGGGCCTGGCCCCGCCCAGAGGGCGGTGCCCACCAAGTCGCCCCGCCCACCCGCCTTGCCCGGGGCCCCGCCCTCTTTCAGATTTGCCTTCGCAGCTTAGTTGCGACCTCATCAGCTGCTGGCAAATGAAATAAAAATAAAAAGAAATTAAAGGCTTAAGTAAAGTAACCACACTGGTGTGTGGAGTCTCCTCGCTGGACCTATGTGGAAGTCAAATTACTTGAATAATAATAATAATAATGTACAGTTCTGAATTCCAGTTCCCACTGGTGGGACTCATTTGGGACCCTCCACTGTGGAGGAGAACTGAAGCTCTACCAGCTTAAGATCGAGGATAAGGAGACAGTAAAACGGGATACTTAAAAGTGTTTTAAAAATACAAATCAAAGAGAGACTGAGGAAATGGGAGAGGGTCAGGGAAGGAAGAAGGGAGGCCCCTTCCGGTGAGAGTGGGCCATTCCTCCAGAAGACTGGAATTCTAGATCCATATCTGTTGCGGGGAGAAACCTCTTGGTCCCTCAGTCTTCCTGTCAGTGAAATGGGAGAAGTCTTGCTCTTCTTCCTGCAGGGCTGTACAAATAAACTGCAATCATTTGTGTCTCCTCACTGGTCCTCCATTCCCTCAATCCCACACTCTCCTGGGGACTTCTGCGTCTCTCCCCATCTGTTGTACCCCACTCCTGGCTCCTCACTCCTGGCAACTCTCAGGATTCCAAATCACTCCTTGCTTGACTTTGGTGTTGCCCTGCTGGGCTCGCTAACGTCCGATCTCTGTGTCCAGTGCAACCAGAACAAATCCGACTGCTTCTATCAGACATACTCGTCTGGGGTGGATGCAGTGCGGGAATGGTACCGATTCCATTACATCAACATTCTGTCCAGACTGTCGGGTACTTCGCTATCCCTGGAGGAGGAAGCCCTGGGCAACTTCATCTTCACGTGCCGCTTCAACCAAGCCCCCTGCAACCAGGCGTGAGTAGGTCCTGCAGGTGGTTCTGCCTTGAGGGTCTCCAGGTCCTCCTGTGTCCCTGCAGTAGCAGGGCCCAGGAAATGCTTGCAGATTAAGTATGGAAATGGAGCAAGGGGGAAGAATGGTCTCAGGCCTACATTTCTGGCTCATGGAGTGCCCCCGTAGATTGCTGTTCACTATGCTGCGGTATCTGAGAGCTCAGACCTCATCTGGATGTCCTGGGAAGAGCCGGGCTTGAGGTGTGGCTTTTGAAATCGAGGGCAAGGCATGGTTGTCTGTCTTTCTAAGGCCTCTTTCTCACTAGCATCAAAGCGCTCATGCATCTGGGAGGTACAGCAAGCAGGCCTTTTTCCCCTGGATTTATTACACGCAGTTTTAACCAAGCATGGACAGAAAAATTATGTTAAAAAAAAATTCTAAGAAAGCCCGGCGCCTGTGACTCAGGCCTGTAATCCTAGCCACTCAGGAGGCAGAGATTAGGAGGACCATGGTTCAAAGCTAGCCCTCTGGAAATAGTTCGCAATTCTCGAAAAATACCCAACACAAAATAGGGCTGGCAAAGTGGTTCAAGTGGTAGAGTGCCTGCCTAGCAAGCATGAGACCCTGAGTTCAAACCCTAATACCGACCAAAAAACAAAAAAGATTCCAAAGACATTTCAAAAGTTTAAAATTCCGTGTGCATTACAGCAGCTCAGCTGATGGGAGAAGCTCCCAGTCAGTCCTGCATTCTTACCTGTCATGTTTAAAGCATTCTGTGATCTGCAGAGTGTTTCCCTGCCCTGCATTTTGTGAAAATCCGACCCCCGCAAAAGCAAATGATGCCCAAAAGCAAGGAAGAAGTAAAAGTGCTAAATTCACGTGATCAAATGAGAATTTGAGATGTGTTGGCATGTCTTTAGCAGAAGTTGAACAGCATTATGGGAAAAATGAATCAAGCACCCGCTGCCCAGACTGAACTGTGTGCATCCTGAGCATTCAGGGGTTTTCCCCAACAGCGGTCTCCTTGGAACCATAGATCTGCGGATATCAAGTGTCTACTCTGGCAGTGTGGTGAAGTAGCGTGGCTGGAAAGTCTCAAACCGAGTTCCCGCTGGCTCTGTCCCTTCCCTGCCTGGTGACTCTGGCCATTCCACATCATTATGCAGAGTCTTTTTCTCTGTTAAAATGGAAACAAAACAAAACAAAAATGCAGATTCATTCAATATTTTAAATTTTATTTATTTATTTATTTTGGTGGTACTGGCATTAGAACTCAGGGCTTCATGCTTGCAAAGCATGCACTCTACCACTTGAGCCACACCTCCAGTCCTCAATAAGTATTTTTGACTATCTGGGCTATGTGCTAGACTCTGTTGTAAGCATTTGAAATAAATCACAGGGAGATATATATATATATATATATATATATATATATATGAAATCTTTGCCCTTCTCGTGCTTTTACTCAAGTGATGAATATGATATCGATCATACCCGTCTCAAGAGTTACACCAAAAGCATGAAATAAAAATGTGAGGGAACTTTATACACTTCAGGGAACGATGGGTCTTGTGCCCAGGGACATGGGCTAGTTCTAGCTAGTTCTTTCACTCACTTCCAATGCCCCTCAGAAATTCTTTTTCTTAGGACTCCTGTCATAATGTCCTTTTAAAGAGATCAGAGCTGTGCAAGCTCTCTGAGGGCTGGGAGAAGCTGGGAGTGAGGGACTCCTGCAGCTCCAGTCTTCCTCTTATTCTTGCTTTCTGCGCCATGATTTTCCAGGGGCCACCTCCCTGCCTCTGTCTGGCTGAGGAGTGGTACCAAGGCAGCATCTCCACTCTGCCAGGGGCCCTTCCCTCCTGCGTCATCACTGGAGAATGGCAGCATGGCCAGGTGTGACTTGCTTCCGCCCCTCCCTCTCACCCTTCGTGCACACTCTGCTCAGCACGCAGCTTTGTTCCTCATTGTGTTTATTTGAGGACAGAAGCCAGAATCTGGGAAGTGAGGCAGTTGAGCCTGAGTCAGCCTGCACCTGCCACCAGTCCTCTCTGTCACCTTTCATCTGTAATTTTCATTCCGATCCTTTCCCTTTTCCTACTCTGTGCTCCTGCCTCCCATCCCAGAAAGTCCATAGTTCATCTTTGCTTTGGCACTTAGGCCTTTTCTTCAGCTCAGACCCTCATCCTCTCTCACCTGGATTGTTTTTACCACCTCCTAATTTGTCTTTCTGCCTCTTAATCTTCCCTTCATTCTGTGACCACAGTGGGGGTCGGAGTTCATTTTCTGTTACTATAACAGAATACCACAGACTTTTCTTTTATAAAGAAAAGAAATTTGTTTCTTACAGGCTGGGAAGTCCAAGAGCATGGCACTGGCATCTGATGAGGGCCTCCATAACATAACATGGCAAAAAGCAGAAGGTCAAGTGAGCATATGAAAGAGAAAGCAGGAAGGGCTGGGCTGGTTTTATAACCTCCTGTCTCATGATAACTAACCCACTCCCCAATTCAGCAGTTATCACTAGGATTCTGCTCTCATTACCCATTCTTCTCTTCTTTGCTCCTCAAACACATTGGGGATTCAGTTTCCAACACATGATAGGGGAGACACTGCAACCACAGCTGGAAGCTCTATACTTCACTATACTTCATTTTTCCGGTTCGTCCTGTTTAAAGAGTCTTTCATGGCCTTCAAAATCAAGTTGAAAGTCAGTATGGCCTTCTCACCCCTCCCCTTTCTCATATACAAAGCCCTTCCCCCCCATTATCTTTTCCTCCCTCTCTCCCTCCCTTCCTCCCTCCTTCCCTCCCTTCCTCCCTCCTTCCCTCCCTCCCTCCCTCTTTCCCTCCCTCCCTCCCTCCTTCCCTTCCTTCCTTTCTTCCTGGGGACTGGAGTTTGAACTCACACTTGCAAAGCAGGTAATCTACCACTTGAGCCAACCCTCTAGTCCATTTTGCTCTGGCTATTTTGGAGATGGGGTCTTGCTAACTATTTGCCTGGTCTGGCCTCAATCCTCAATCCTCGTGATCTCAGCCTTCCATGTAGCTAGGATTACAGGTGTGAGCCAATGGCTCCTGGCATAATTTTTATTTTTATCTTTTGGTTCTGAGAATCAAACCCAGAGCCTCATGCCTCCTAGGCAAGCAAACCCTTTACCTCTGTGCTACATCCTTTGCCATAACCTTTTCTTTAGTAACACCTTTATCGAGAATAAGTTCACATGCCATAAAATTCTTCCTTTTTAATATGTAAAATTTAGTGGACTTTAGTGTATTCAGAATTGTACAATCAGTACCACTATCTAAATTTATAACATTTTCTTCAGCCCGGACAGAAACCCAGTACCCATTAGCAGCTCCTCCCCATCTCCTCCCCTTCTTCAGGGCTTGGGACCCAGTAATCTGCTTTCCATCTCTATGGATTGCCTATTGTGGGCATTTCATATGAAGGGAATCAAACAGGCTGGGAGAGTGGTTCACTGATAGAGTGCTTCCCTAGCATGCATGAGGCCCCAGGTTCCATCCCCAGCACTGCAATAAATAAGTAAATGAAATAAATGAATAAGTAAAATGAATCATACAGTGTGGGGCCTTTTGTGACCTGTGGCTTCTTCCACTTAGCATAATCTTTTCCAGGTTTATTCATGTTGTAGCATGAATCAGAATTTCATTTGTTTTAATGACCAAATAATACTATAAAGTATGGTATATAATATCATATGCCACATTTTAATTCATCTGTTCTTCAGTTGATAGTTCCCACTTTTTTGGTTTTATCAATAAAGCTGCTATGAACATTCTCAAGCAGGTTTTTGTATGGATATAGGTTTTCATTTCTCTTGGTATACACCTGGGAGTGGAATGCTGGGTCATATGGCTCTGTGTTTAACATTTTGAGGAACCACTGGACTTTGCAAATAGCTGGGCTAGTTTACATTCCCAGAAGCAAAGTATGAGTGTTCCAAATTCCTTACATTTTCTGCTTCTTATTGTCTATCTTTTTTACTTTAGTCATCTTAATGAATTCCTAGGATCTTCAAACTAATAGAAGTACTGAGTACTGTTCTAAGTAATTTGGTCCTCCACAGCCTTGTGAAGTAGATATTTTTATTATCTTTATTTTACAGATGAGGAAACTGAAGTACAGAGAGATTAAGCAACTTGTTTGGTCCCCACTTCTTTTTTTGGCGATAGGGGTTTGAACTCAGGGCCTCACTCTTGCTAGGCAGGTGCTCTACAACTTGGGCCACTCCACCAGCCCTTTTTTTGTTGGGTATTTTTTGAGATAGGGTCTTGCTAACTATTTGCCTGGGCTGATTTCAAACCTCAATCCTTATTTCTGCCTCCTGAGTAGCTAGGATTACAGGTGTGAGCCACCAGCGCCCAACTTCTCATTCTTGTTAGAGGTAGGATTTGCATACAAGGAATTTAGTTCCTTCCGAATGTGTTCGCAAACATTATATGACTTCTCATAGCGACACTATTAATGTGCATAATGTGTATTTGTCTTTGTAAAATTTATACTTAATTTCCATGAACAATGTTATATATCTCATTTTACCGCCTTTTTTTTTTTTTTAATTAAGCTGTGTGTTTATGATCCACCCCTGTTGCTCCACCTAAACTCTGATGCTGTCTACTACATACCATCCATGGTGTGCCTCCACCACACTGTACTGGTTCCCTCTCCCAGTGAGCCAGACTCAGCACTGGCACTTCTGTAGCTTCTTCAGTCCTGCTCTGCATCTAACCCATCTCTAGAAATGCTGGGTTCCTAGAACATCCTAAAATGTGTCCCAGTATTTCACACCTGTGTGCCTTTGGTTTTTTTAAGGCCAATGGACTATCCCAGATCAGCTGGTTCCAATCTCATTTTGCGGATGAGGAAGAATGAGCTTAGAAAAAATGACTTGCTCAAGGCCATACAATAACTCCTCCCCCCAATTTCTTTTTTTTTTTTTTGGGGGGGGGTGGGACTGGATTTTGAACTTGATTTGATACCTATAAAGCAGGTGATTTTGTAAAATTTACCATTTTACACTACCACCTGAGCCACACCTCTAGTCCATTTTGGTCTGATTATTTGAAGATGAGGGTCTCATGAACTATTTGCCTGGGCTGGCCTTGAACCGTGATCCTCCCAAGCCCAGTCTCCCAAGTAGCTAGGATTACAGCATGAGCCATCTGCACCCAGCTAAAACCACACTCTTTATCTCTGGTTAGCCTCAGCCTTCTTACTTCTCTTCATTCCTCCTCTGCTTCTCACAGGCCAAAGCCCCATCTTCCTCTTCTCTTGCTTCCATCGACAGCTCCAAGATGTCAGGGTAATGGAACATGGGTTCCCTGAGTGGGCTCTTGAAACCCATGACTTGCTGTCAAATCATATTCCCACTGCTTCAGTGTTGCCTGAGATTTCTTTCTTTCCATTCCCAGACCTCTCACAGATCAGAGTTGTACCTTCAGGCTGATGCTGAAGCCTCTGGCAAACACCTGGCCTCATTCCTGCCTGCGCTCTGGACTCTTACCTCAGCTGCATGCTCACCATGAGTCTCACTCTCTCCTTTGACCCTGCTCACCTCCATCTCTCCATTTCCTTCATGCATCTGCTCAACAATTGTATATCGCATACCTCCTGTCTCCTTTGTGTCTGAAACCCTGCAAGTAGCCTCAAGACAACACAGAGATGAATGAGATGTGGTTCCTGTTCTCAAAGAGTTCACAGTCCAAATGGGGAACTAAGAGTTAGACATGTGAGAAGTTGGGGACACTGCAAGAGACTGCATAAGGCACCATAGCAACACAGACAGGTCACAAGGCAGCATGGAAGTCAAGACTAGTGAGGTCAGGTGGCCCAGCCCAAGCTAGCAGGTAGATGACATGGGTCTAAATCCTTGTTCTGTCATCCCTACTTGAGTGGCCTTGTCTCTGAGCCTGAGTTTCTTCTTGGAGAATGTGAGGATGAGGCTCCTCCAGGCTGGTGGTTGTAGAGAGAATGGGAGCCTTGGGGAACTTCCTAGCATATGTTGACATATAGTAGGTAATCAGGGAACAAATGGCTCCAAAAAGCCTAATTTCTTAAGGGAATGATTTCCCTCTGCCTCTCTCCCCTGCACGTTCCTCTCTGACCCTTCTTTTTCTCTGTCCTGCTAAGGAATTACTCTCACTTCCACCACCCCATGTATGGGAATTGCTACACTTTCAACAACAAGAACAACTCCTACCTCTGGATGTCGTCCATGCCAGGGGTCAACAATGGTGAGCAGCCCCCATTCCCTGATCCCTTATCTCTACCCCAGTCCTTCTAACGCCCCCATCTCCCCAGCCTACCCACATTTACTCACCTTGGGGCTACATCCTAGAGGTGCTGTGCCCCTTCTGGACCTCATCATAATGTTCCCCTCTCTGTCCTGGAAGACATCTGCTTTCTCTCCGACCCAGGAGTCCCATTCCAGGCACAAGAGGAATCCTGTCCCAGTCCTTTCTGTCTGCCCCCAGGTTTCAGCTCTGGGGTTGTCAAATCCACTTGCAGCTCTTTCTGACCCTGCTTCTCTTTTAGATTAATGAGAGGCAAGGAGGATGGGTTTTTATCTCTTGACTCTTCTCTGGGACCCTCCCCCCAACTCTGCCCCTGCTGCATCCCAGGTCTGTCCCTGACACTGCGCACAGAGCAGATTGACTACATTCCCCTGCTGTCCACGGTGACCGGGGCCAGGGTAATGGTGCATGGGCAGGATGAGCCTGCCTTTATGGATGATGGTGGCTTCAATTTGCGGCCTGGTGTGGAGACCTCCATCAGCATGAGGAAGGCAAGGATGCTGATGGGGAAGAGAGCTCCAGATCAGAGCGGGTGTGGCAGAGGACATGGGAGGTAGACCTGACAGTCAGGAGACTGTGGAGGGAGATCATGTGTGGCAGCCTTGAGCACGAAGAGGAGCAGGAATTGGGTGAGGGGGAATTGCAAAGTAGGGCTCTGGGAAGCAGACCTTGTGTAAGAAGTGCCAAGAAGGGGTTCAGGGCATGTTAAGGATCCCAGGCAATGCCTGGGGCTCTTGACCTTGAAAGTGGCATGGAGATAGGCCTTGGGGGCAGCTGGAGCATGTTTTGAGATGGGGAAGGAGATAGTAGGGACTAGCAGGAGGTGAGATACAACCTGGGACTAAGTGAAGACAGAGAAGCCAGGGCCACTGACTCTGACCTTGACCTCTGACCTCTGGATATGCGTGGATTCCTAGGAAGCCTTGGACAGACTTGGGGGCAATTATGGTGACTGCACCGAGAATGGCAGTGATGTTCCTGTCAAGAATCTTCACCCTTCCAAGTACACGCAGCAGGTGAGCCCCCCTTTTCCCGTGGCAGCCACCTCCCATGCCTGCACAAGTTGCTCAGTCAGAGTTGGAGGTAGTTCGAGAGACAGGGAGGATTTGGGGATCAGGGGTGGTTGTGGAAAGAGGAGGCGAAGAGCCGAGAAGTGCTGGGCATCCTGCCCCTTCTGGGCTGTTGTGGGTGGGTGGGCCTGGCCTGAAGCCCCTTTTCTCTCTCTGCCTCTCCTCCAGGTGTGCATTCACTCCTGCTTCCAGGAGAAGATGATAGAGAAGTGCGGCTGTGCCTGCATCCTCTACCCAAAGCCCAAGGATGTGGAGTTCTGTGACTACAGGAAGCACAGCTCTTGGGGTGAGCCAGGGAGCCCCTGTGCTGCCCCACCACCCACCTAGACGTCCCTAGGCACTCTCCACCTTGTGCCCTCTGTCGTGGGATGATGGCTCCCAATGGTCCTAAGTCTCCCCACAATCTCTTGCTTTCTAGCTCTCTCTCTCTGTTTTGGGTTTTGTGTATTTGTCAAGGAATTGCCCCATTTTTTTTTTAAACATGCAGCGGAGGGAAGACAGAGAACATGCCTCCTCTCCTGTGCGGCTTCTGTGTGTGCTCTGCCCTGAGGAACCTACAGCTTCCCGCTCATTCTTTAGGGTGCTGGGTGGGGATGGCTGCTGGGGGCCTGGGTGGGGCACCCCACATCATGCTGAGGCCCAGGAAGAAACTATTAGAAGTCCTCTGTGTCTATCTCATTTCTTCACATTTCCTATCTGATGTGTTTTAGACTATACATACTGTATCCCTTCAGCAGTCCAGCTATGCCATTTATAAATCAAACACACATTGGACTTGCTTATTTTGGAATTGTTTTTACTTGGAAAGGGGCACAATCAAACAAGTTGGAGAGCCCTTGCACCTCCTCCTCATCCTGACATAGACGTAGGTATATCCTTTTCCCGCTGAGCTATGGCTGGGACTCTGAGAGAAAGACAACCCCAGCAGGAAACACCAAGGGTCACACTGCTGCTGCACAGGCTCTGTCTACACAGCCAGGAGACACTGGGCCAGGGTCATTGCTGGAGAGGACAAGGCAGCAGGCATTGTGGACACAGAGGCCCTCACCAGAGCTGATTGTCTTTCTGAATTTAGCCTCTGTCCCTGTGTCCCTCTGTTTTTCTGTCCTCTTTCTTGCCTGGGCCTGCTCCACCCAGTTCTCTCTCCTGTCCACTCTTCCAGTGGTGGCCTCCTACTTCTGGTCTCTGGCCTTGGCCTTGGAAGATCAGAATTGGGGGGAGCTCTGGTTATCTGACCTCAACTCCTTTCTCAGATGGGCAGCCCAGGATATACAGAGCAGATGGGGTTCTGGGATGGGGGTTCCCTGTCCTCTTTCCTCCCTGCCTCTATTATTTCTGAGTTGTTATGAGTTTAAGATTGGTGAGAGTAGCACATATATGAATAATAAAAGAAAAAAAAAAGATTGGTGAGAGGAAAATAATATTGACTTCTAGGAAGTTGTGAGGCTGAGGGAGAGGAGCAAAGGCTAGAAGCAGTCAGATGTGTTGCCTAAGACTTAGTCTCCAGAGAAAAAGGTCCGGCAGCTTCCAAAAGATTCCCCAGCCCTGGTCAATGGAGGAATTTGGGTTGAAAGTGAAGGACTTTGGACTGCGTGACTACAACTCGTGAGGGTGATGAAATAAACTTAGAACTTGGTAAATGCTGGTGGAGGGGAATCCATAGTCTCATTCCTTTTCTTCTTTTTTTTTTGGTGGTACTGGAGTTTGAACTCAAGACCTCACACTTGCTAGGCAGGCACTCCACCACTCGAGCCACACCTCCAGCTCTCCTTCTTTTTCTGAGATAATTTGTTTCCCTTACAATTCACTCACGTAAAGTATCTGGTTTTGAGTACGGTGGTGTATGTGTGTAATCCATTGCTTGGCACTTGGAGCCAGGAGGATTAAGGTCCAGGCCAGCTGGGCTGCATAACAAGATCTTATCTCAAAAACAAACAGGGCTGATGGAGTGGTTCAAGTGGTAGAGTGCAACCCCAGTATCATCAACAAACAAATAAACAAAGTATATAGCTTTATTTTAGTATAATTGTAATTTTCAGTTTTAGGTTTTTGGTGTAGTTCTAGGGTTATGCAATCATCACTACCATGAATTTTAGAAGATTTTTGTCACTACCATCAGAAATCTTGTACCCATTAGCAGTCCCTAAACTCCCCACTGCCAGGCTCTGGGCAGTCACTAGTCTTTTAGTCTCTGTAGATTTGCCTATTTTGAACATTTCATATAGACGGAATCTTATAGCCTATGGTCTTTGTAGCTGGTTTCTTTTACTTAATATGCTATTTTCAAAGTCCATCCATGTTGTAGTGTGTATCACTGCTTTGTTCTTTTTGTGGCTGAATAATGTTCTATTGTATGGATAGACTACATTTGTTTACTCACTTAACAGCTTATGGACATTTGGTTACAAGTCTTTGTGTGGACAAATGTTTTTAGGCTTTTTGGGTGCACACCAATGAGTAAAATTGCTTGAATCACATGGTGACTTTATGGTTAACCTTTTTTTTTTTGGTACTGGGGTTTGAACTCAGGGTCTCACCCTTGTTACCCAGGTGTTCTACTACTTGAGCCACTCTGCCAGCTCTGTTTTGTATTGGGTATTTTTAAGACAAGATCTTGAGAACTATTTGCTGGGGCTGACTTTGAACTGTGATCCTCCTGATTTCTGCCTCCTGAGTAGCTAGGATTACAGGTGTGAGCCACTGGCGCCCAGCCTATGATTAACCTTTTTGAAGAACCGCCAGACTGTTTTGCAAGATGGCTGCACCATTTTATACTCCTAGCAGCACTAAGTGAGGTTTCCAGTTCCTGCACATCCTTGCTGGTACTGGTCTTTTATTAAAACAGCCATCCCACTGGGTATAAAGCAGTATCTCATTGTGGTTTAGACCCATTATTCTTACGAAATAATTGTTCCCATTTTTTGTTCTGACTTTTAAGTTTTGTGCACATCCTGTTTTTCTCCCTGACTTAGTTTAATTTCTTAAACAATTTTGTTTTGTTGCTGCCACTAACAGGCATCATTGTAGTGCTACGTAAAGAGAATGCCTAGATATTACAAGGGGCCTCTTGGGTGTGGTGGGATGGAGAAGGTTGGGGTGCCCTTGGAAAACAGGCACCTCTCTGCACCCACAGGCTACTGCTACTATAAGCTCCAAGGGGCTTTCTCCTTAGACAGCCTGGGCTGTTTCTCCAAGTGCCGGAAGCCATGCAGGTAAGTACCTCTTCTCCAGGTGCAGACTGGGCAGTGGGCTGCTTGGTTGGGTGGGATGCAAGGTACCTAGCTAAGCTTTTGTGTGGTCTTCCACTTCCATCACTGAGCACTTTTCTCCATCCCAGTGTCACCAACTACAAGCTCTCTGCTGGTTACTCACGATGGCCTTCTGTGACATCCCAGGTAAAAGGGGAAAGGAGGGCAGGTGTGTGCATGCACATGGGTATATGATACCATGACCTTCTCTGGGTAGTGGGTGTTGGTGTATTTGACCTGACACCATCCCTGGAATCCTGAGGAATACAGGGCTGACCTCACTGACACCCTCATTCTTTCCCAGGAGTGGATCTTCCAGATGCTATCCCGTCAGAACAATTATACCATCAACAACAAAAGGTCAGTCCTGCCCTGGTTTTAGCACAGGACAGGTATCCTTGGGAGGAAATCAGGTCTGGGTAGAGGAATTGATTAAGGTGATTGGAAGAGGGCCCAAGAAGTTAATCCTCTGCCATTTTTCCCCCACCCCCAAAGAAATGGAGTTGCCAAACTCAACATCTTCTTCAAGGAGCTGAACTACAAAACCAATTCTGAGTCTCCTTCTGTCACGGTAGGGCCTGCCTCCTGGGACGTGTGTTTCTCTTGGGGGTCTCAGCAGGATAGCTATCAGGGAGGACAAGGGGTGGCTTCTGTGGGGCCTTGAAAGCAGGCGACTAAGGAAAAGGGGCTTGGGGTCAAGGGTGAGGTGAGAAGACTGGAAAGAGATAGCTGGGGCTGGGGTATGAGGTCTGGTTGGTGACAAATGTCAGGAGAAGGCCCTTGAAACATGCCTCAGTTTCTGCTGGCCTCATGACCAGTTTTCTGTGGGGGGTGCTGATCAGGAGCTTGTGCTCCTCAGGGGAGTAGCAGAGGCAGGGGCCCAGGGGACACGGAGAGGTTGGGGGTTGGGGGCAGGTGGGGTCCTCAGGCACAAAGGGAGATGGCTTGGTAAGGACAGGCTCCTCTGTCAGAGCCCACCCTGGGCTCCCTGCCCCATGGTCATATTCCTCTCTCCCCACACAGATGGTCACCCTCCTGTCCAACTTGGGCAGCCAGTGGAGCCTATGGTTTGGCTCCTCTGTGTTGTCTGTGGTAGAGATGGCTGAGCTCATCTTTGATCTCCTGGTCATCACCTTCCTCATGCTGCTTCGGAGGTTCCGAAGCCGATACTGGTCTCCAGGACGAGGGGCCAGGGGTACCAGGGAGGTGGCCTCCACTCCGGCTTCCTCCCTCCCCTCCCACTTCTATCCCCGCCCTACATCCCCATCCTTGCCTCTGCCAGACCCAGCTCCCTCCCTGGCCCTGACAGCCCCCCCACCTGCCTATGCCACCCTAGGTCCCTGTCCACTTCCCTTGGGCTCATCAGGGCCCAGCTCCTCTGCCTGTGCTCTGGGGGAACCCTGACAGAGAAGGAGGGTGTCCCTTTCCCAAAGGTTGGTGCTCCCCTGGTGGGAGGGGGCCACCTTAGCAGGATTGAGAGACATTTGGGGCTTCTTCTCAGAACTGCCTAGCTGCCTTTGGTGTGGAGGAGGGGGGCAGGCTGGGTAAGGGGCCCGAGAAGTTGCCCAGAGAAGAGTGGCCAATGAGCTGCCCAGACTTGCGTTGGTCCTGCCTCTGAAAACTCTGGTTTCCACACAAGTACAGACAAGTTTCCTTTTCCCTTGGATCAGTCAAGTCAAACTTGGCGCTTTAACAAAGAGCTTTCTTAGGAAATGACTGATGACCAGAACAAACACTAGCAAGGGCACACCAAAGCATGCATAGGTTTCCTACCCAACGGCTGGAGATTGGCCTGGCCACACTGCACACTGCCTTCCAGTGACACAGATGTCTGGTCCTCTTCTTGAACTTGGGTGGGAAACCCCACCCAAAAGCCCCCTTTGTTAGTTCTTGGACAGTCCCCTTCCCTGACTCCCCAGGGTGGGGGTTGGAGCAGATCAGTGCAATAAAGGTTTTGGCCATTCCCAAAACTATTCTAGTCTCATATGCCCTGTGTCCTTCTCTCTGCGTGTCTGCTCAAATTATTTCCTTAGTCTGGAAGCTTTTCCCATCGTCTCCTAGAGAACTTCTTATGCATCCCTTAGAACTCTGTTCAGAAATACCATTACTTCTGGGAAGACTTCTGCCTTACCCTGTCTTTCCTCTGGACTCCCATAACACACACTGTAACATCTACTGGATGTCAATGTTGTATTATATGTTTATATTCATTTGTGTCTCCCTCCCTAACTAGACTGTGAGCTCCTTGTGGCCAGCAACTGAGTTTTGTTCATTTCTGTAACCTCTAGCTGTAGCCCAGTGTCCTGTTTGGAGCAAGTAGGCAGGTGTTGAATAAATGTTTGTTGCATAAAGCAATGTGTGGAGGGCTGGATGGGGACCCATGGAAGCAGGTCCCTACCTGCTCAACTCAAGTCCTTGAGTTGCTGCCCACACTTCTGGGAGGTCCTAGAGTGGAGGGAGGGAACAAATCCCATGCCTCGCTTTAGTCACCATCATCAGGAATTCTCTACACCATTTGCCGAGTACCAGGCACCACCCAGCTGCAATATAATCCTTATCTACCCTCCTCCCCATCTCCCTGTCAACTGCCCCAAGTGGTGGCAAAGGATAAGACACTTTCTTCCAAAACCTTAAAACCTTGGGTAGTCTTAATTCTTATGGCATCACAGAGGGGATCAGAGAAGAGAGGTCCAGGGAGAGGCTGAACCCCACTTTTCTGATCTCCAGTCCTTCTGTCTGCTCCAGGTGTAGAATCCAGAAGTGACCCTTTCTCATTATCTTTTGGGAGTAAGCCTTGGGCTTGCTCCTGTTAATCATAATTCCTCCATCCTTTGGAGTCAGAGGAGGAGAGTCTTGGGGGGACAGAAGGAGCCACAGGGGAATGGAAAGGCAGAAAGAGTCATGCCCTGGACTGTGGACTCTGACTTCCCTTTTCTGTATTCAAGCTGATGAGGGGAAATGGTGCTTTCTCACAGTCAGAGCCTCAGGTGGGGCTGTGCTTATCTTTTCTTCTGTCACTGTCTTGGCCTCAGCCTTGCTCCGCCCCATCCCCTATGCTCTCCCTTGAGAGGGAGGTCCTGCTGGGCAAAGCAGGATCTGTTATAGATGACTGCAGTTAGCCACCCCACCCACCTTCTAGGTGCTTCTTGCCTGTCTGCCTTGCCACCCCCAGATCTTTCCTATCTCTATCCCTTGTCTATGGGTGACTCTTAAGAGTAAGGATCAGAGTGTTAGAGCAAAAAGTATATTAGTTGCCTCATTTACCCTATTGGGCTTGGTGGGTAAAGTGACTTGCTTAAGTTTGTAATGCTTACAGAACCAGCCTGGAACCCAGGTCCCCTACCTCCCTGTGAAGGTGGGGCCTTGAATGGCTGGACTACAGCCCTCGTCACCCAGGCTCAGAGGTCAGTGGCCTTTGGGTTGTGTGCCGTGTGCATATTGGTGATACACATGATAGGAGAGGACTCTGCTATCTGAAGCTATTTTTTTTTTATCCTAAGCTACACAAAACAGACAGCCAAATTCTATTATCTCCTTTTCTGCCCCTCTTCTGTTTTACCGTCTCTCCCCCCAGCCCCCCAACCATCATATTTTCTATCACTTTGTGGAACTACTTAGCTTCCTATATTCCCAGATCCACTCACTTCTCACCTTTTCTTCTTTTCTAAACATAATTTCATTGAACAATTCAGTACCATATGTCTCAAAACTTTAAAGGTATCCAGTAAACCAGCATTTGTCTAAATCATGAAGGAAACTCTCGAGGTGGGTGCTGGTGGTTCACGCCTGTAATCCTAGTCATTGGGGAGACAGAGATCAGGAGGATCTCGATTCGAAGCCAACCTGGGTAAATAGTTCTCAAGACCCTATCTCAAAGAAAACCCATTCCCAAAACAAAGGCTGGTGGAGTGGCTCAAGGTGTAGACCCTGAGTTCAAGCCCCAGTACCACAAAAAAAAAAAAAAAAGAAAGGAATTCTCCTTTTGTGCCAGGCTCTGTGAAAGGCTTTGACAACATATATCCTGTAACATTAAAAATGGGACATTAAAGTTGTTTTTAACTATTCATACAAACTATTAATATTTCTACTTCTTATAGAATGATTATGGCATACACTTGCTAAGCACTTTATACACATTTAATTAAGCCTGTCTGTGAGAGATATTACTATGTTTCCCATTTATTTTAATTCTCTCTCTCTCTCTCCTTTCTTTCCCCAGTGCTGGGGATGGAACCCAGGGCCTTTCACATGCTAGGCTGGGGCTCCACTACTGAGTAGACCCTTCCCAGCCCTTCCATTTATTTTAGATGAGGAATCTGGGGCTCTCCTGGCTTCTTCACTTTGGAATCTAGCCAGTCTGATGGCTTCTTCACCCCAGTGACTAGAGCAGAGTGAAGTTAGCACTGGGGGCACCTAAGTTTGGGATGCCAGGCAAAGTCTGAGTGGGCTTGGGGCTGGAGGGTCAGTTGGTGGATCTCAGGGCGAAGGGCCCAGGAACTTTTGTATTTCACTTTTTTGCTTTCCCTCATTTCTCCCAGTCTCAACAACTGAAGGACCCTAGGTTGGGCTGGGAGAAGGAAGTCACTGTATCTGAGGGCATCTGAGTGAATATTGTGTCTGAGTTGTAGGATTCTCTTGAGAGAAGGACTGAGCAAACGCAAATGGATAAAATGCCCATCCTCTGTAGAAGATGGCGGTTGAGATGTAGGGTCTGAGTCAAAGAACAATGAGAACAGCCCTTGGAACGGAAGCTAGGAATCTCTGTGGTTCTGCCATGAAGCTCTCAGAGTCAATTTTGTCACCTAGAAAGCCAGAGGTTGTAGTAGGTTCTCTCTAGGGTCAGACTTGGTTGATGTATCAGAATATTAGAAAAAAGGGCTCTGGGAATGGACAGGTGACATCTTACAGAGATGTTCATGTTCCCAAAGCATCTTCACAGAGTGACCTGTCTGATCTACACTTTCCGATGTAGGTGGCATTTTCAATGCTCAGGAGCCGGGGCTGCCTGATGTCCCCTGATGGCAGAACCAGGATCAGCAGATGGAGGCAACTGCCAGGCAGAGACTACATGAGAAGTAGAGGGCAGAAAACTAGGATTGGGGTGTGGGGGAGGGGAAGATAAAGTAGAATGGTGGAGGAAGTGAATTCATGTATGATATATTTGATATATTGTAAGAACTTTTACAATACAAATGCCACAATGTACCTCCACCCAACAAAACAATAAAGAAAAGAAAACTAGGATTAGGTCTTACCCAGCAGATTCCCAAGAAATTGAAGGGTAAAGGGGAGGTCTCCAAGGAAAGGCCACCAAGGAACACTGAGTAATCACCATGCCACAGACATTATCTGTCCTGCCTCAATAAATTCTTACAGCAACCCTGTGAGATAGGCTGTCATCATCTTACAGATGGGAACACAGGCCCAGAGAGGTTAGGTCATGTGTCAAAGATCACCTAGCTAAAATGTAAAGGATTCTGAACTGGAACTCAGAGGTTTTGACTCCTAAACTCTAGGTCTTCCCATTGCTTTTCCATCTGGGAAAGACCAGTGATGGGGTGAGAAGGGAGGGGGACCCTCACATCTTGGGGTTTGGCTGGGAGTGGTCGACTTGGTGGGTTGGGGCCACAGGGGATGGGACCTGGGATTCAGGGCCTCTGACTGGGCTACAAAGTGTTAAAGAACCTTGGCCCCCTCCTCCCTCTCCTCCCCTCCTCAGCACCTCCTCCGCCTCTTCCCCAGGCTCTTCCGGTCCCCCTATTGCGACACCACCCTCTCGGCCCCTCCCACCTCCTCTCTGCTCTCGGCTGTAATTTTCTCCGAGTTTTCCAGACTGGGGCTCCTGATCTGGCCTCCAGAGGGTTCGAGGTACCTGGGCCAGGGTTGTGTTTCCACACCTGTGTCTCAACCTTCAACCCCTCAGCTCAAGTCCCAGTACCAGTCCCATCTTGGGACCTCCTGGTCAGACCCGTGCAGCTCCAGAGGACGCCGCTGCCACTGTTGCTGTCCGGAGCCCCAATGGGGGAGTGAGAGGCCACAGCCGGCCGGACATGGGCCTCCCCACCGTGCCTGGCCTGCTGCTGCCACTGGTGAGACTGGGGGCAAATGGAAGGGTGGGCTGGTGGGGTAAATTGCCATCTGGCAGGAGTGAGCCTTTCCCAGGGGGTGCTGAGACTTCCTTGCCATGGCCTGTCCCGGGTGCCACCCTCAGGCTTTCTGGGCCCAACCTCAGGCACTGACTGTTCCGGTTTCCCCATTTATCTGTGTTTGGAAAAGGGCTCCCTGGGGTGGGGAAGGGAGATGTTTGAGAAGGAGAGAGTAAAAAGAAGCCTGTCCCTCATGGTCATGAAGTTTGCTGCCTGGGCTGTCTGGGAATGGGGCAGGTGGTAGGGTGGGGCAGACTGGTGGGGAGAAGAGAGTCGGGGAAGGGAGATCAGGGCTCTGGGAGTCCAAAGGATTCAGAGTTCTGTCCCTCTGGCAGCTAGCAGGTGACAGTGTGTTAGGCTATGGGGAGGGGAGCCACCTGTGGGATCTGGCTGAGCACCTCTGTTACTCAGGACAGCACTTGGGGTGGCCTGAGACATGGGGAAACTGAGTCTAGGAAGGGAGCAGATTGTTGGGGAGGTTTGGGATGCTGTATAAGGGGGGAGGTTTGGGAGAGAAGTGGGAAACTGGACAGGGGAAGGGCAACCAAATGAGAGGGTCCTTAGGGCCCTCACCAGGCCTGGCTCCCCCTCTGGGGTCTCCTTCGCCTTTCTGCCCCCCCCCCCCTCAGCTTTTACATGGGTGGCCTCAGTTGGACTGACCTCTAAAGGTAGCTGGCACCACCTGGGAAGTATCTCTGGGCTTGTCCTTCAGTCCCCTTCCCACAGATTTAAAACAACAACCCCTTGGTTTTTATTCCACAGCTCAGATTGGGGAAGTTAGTAGCAAGTTGTTTTCGTCACTGGAAAATGTCCCTTTCTCTGGCCTTGGCCTCATTTTCATGTGTCCTTGATTGTCCTCCATGTGCTAGAATCCTCATTTAGATACCCTGAGCCCCCAGCTTCCTGGCTAGTTGGGTCATCTTCCCCACCTGAGTTCCCAGTGTGTACTGGGACCCTTCCCTTCCCTGGCCCAGGGCCCGCTGCTGAACCCATCTCCCTTTTTTTCTTGGTCTTACGTCCTTTCTCTTCTGCCATTCCTTCCTCTCTTGTCAGTCTCCTGAGTCTCTTTCTGTCAAGTCCCCACAGCCCCTCCTCTCTTCTCTGTCTTAGATCTGAATTTCTAGACCCCCATACAGCCCTGTTGCTACTTGGTCTCACTCCCTTTCCATTCTCCCTCCTTCTGTCTCCCCAGTCCCACCCTCTATTCCCAAGACTGTCCTCCCAGACTCTTCCCCTTACATCTCCCTGCCTTGTCCCCTTAGTTCTGTTCTCTTTGGGGACAGATCACATGGTTTCAGAGCTTGGGGACCTTTCACCATAGCTGCATGAACTTGAACAGGTTATGTGACCCCCGCCCCATGCCTTAGTTTCTTTACCTCTAAAATAGACATAATAGTCACTACATCAATAGTGTTATTATAAGATTAAATAGATGGACACGTGTTAAATATTTAGTCAATTTATTCGTGCCTACTGTATGCCACTGTTTCAGGTGCTGGGATTACAGAGGGGAATGAATTTTTTTTTTTCACATAAAAAATGCTGCCTCTCTAGTAAAATAGAAGAATAGGGTGTAGCAAATTGAAAACACTCAGTAAACGTTCTTTTTATATTGTTATCGCTAGTATATTAGTGGTGATTATTTGATGGTTACCTGTGTTTGAGAAATAGAGAGTGAAGGTGGCCTGAACAGATAGAGGAAAGTGCCTGATGGGGGCTGCTGCGTGGTGCAGGTAGGGTCGTGACCCTGACGGGGGCAACAGGAGACAGGCAAGGTCTGCACAGGGCTGTCCACAGTCTTTTCAGTTTCCATTCAGTGGGCAAAACAGACAGAGCATGGTGTGTACAAGGTGTGTGTGTGTGTGTGTGATTTGGGGAGGAACAGAAAGCACATAAAGGACTGTAGGCAAAGCAAACAGAATTTTGCTGTTTTCAGAGCTTACAGTCTGGGAGCCAAGACTGCTTGCAGTGAAAAATGATTTCTGAACACTCCAGTGGAGCCAGGTGCCCGTGGTTCACGCCTCTAATCCTTGTTACTCAGGGGGCAGAGATCAGGAGGAACATGGTTCGAAGCCAGCTTGGGCAAATAGTTTGCTGTCTTGAAAAAAACCTATCACACATAAACGGCTGGTGGTGTGGCTGAAGGTGTAGGCCCTGAGTTCAAACCCCAGTACTGCAAAACAACAACAACAACAACAAAAACCACTCCAGTGGAAAAGATCTCTTGTGACTTGTGATGTGATGTCCCGGAGCATGGTGGGGAGGGGATGGGCTGCAGTCCTGCCATTTCTTAGAGCTTAGAGTGTCTCTCAGCTCCAGGAATGCCAAGAGTTTTATGGGCAGATCCAGGTGTTTTTGGCTTCTGTGTTCTGGAGCACTCCTTTCATAGATGCTAGGGCTTACAATGGATCTTCTTTGGCCCACTGGGAGCACCTGACAGTAGCTTGAGCCAGTTACCATTCATCCATCTCAGCATCCCCAATATCCACATGGACCGGGCATAGAGCCTGTACCCCTTAACTACTTGCCGAAGAAATCAAGGAACAAAGAATTGGTTGGATGGGATGAGGGAGGGAACGCCTCACAGAAAAGTGGATTTGGAGCTGACATCTGAAGTCACTGCCTGGCAGGGTAGCCAGAAAGGAGGGAGGCAGAGGAGTTGGGAGACTGGGTTGGGGGAGAGCAGAAGGATGGAGAGGTGGGATTTTGTGTTGAGAGGAATGAGAGTGGCCAGGCCTGGTGGCTCACACCTGCAATCCTAGCTACTCAGGAGGCAGAGATTGGGAGGATCGCTTTTTTGTGTTGGGTATTTTTGATAAAAGGTCTCACAAACTATTTGTCAGGGCCGGGGAAGTGGTTCAAGTGGTAGAGTGCCTGCCTGGTAAGCACGAGGCCCTGAGTTCAAACCCCAGTACCACCAAAGGAAAAAAAAAAAAAGAACAAAAGAAAGAAGTGAAAGTGGGAACACTGGAGTGAGGTGTGGTAATAAAAGAAACCTGAATATGGATCCAGGTGGAGGAATTCATTCATTCATTCATTTGAACTGTTCTCTCAAGGCCCACTGTATGTCTGGACTGTGTTCATTTTTTTTTTTTTTTTTTTACAATACTGGGGTTTTGAACTCAGGACTTTGTCCTTGCTAAGTAAGACTCCACCTTTTAAGCCACACCTCCAGCCCTAGACTGTGTTTAGAATAGTAATGAGATATCAGGAAAGGAGTGGTCCATGGAAATGATGTTTGAAGCCAGGCCCTGGAGGTGGAAAGGAAGATTTATACTCTTGTGGTACAAGTTGAAACCTGAATGCAGATAAGAAAGTATGTAGGTGGCTATAGTCTCATTTTCTTAGAAGACTGAGGTAGGGACCATTCTGGCAACAGCGATACCCTGGATTGGAGTAAGAAAGATGAAGACAGTTGCAATAATCAATAACAAGGGACATGCAGAGGACAGACAGAGCCCAGAGGAACTGGCAAGGAAGGACTTGCCAGTCCTTCCTCATCTTGCCAGAGGAAGGACTGGCAAGATGAACTGACTGACAGGATGGCAGCAAGTGATCTGTGGTATTGGTACCAAGAAGTTGGTGGTGTGACATTTGTTTAGGTGAGGAGGCTGATGAATTCAGATTGGGGCTTGTTAAGGGTCAGGTTGGGGTTTAGCCAACAGAAAGTGTGGTTCTCACAGGCTGGAGCAGAGAGGTTCTTGATCTCTCTTCTGCTGTTGTGTCTTTGGGATGTGCTGCATTCAGCGGGTCTCAGAAAGAGAGAAGCTTGTGGCAGAATCTTCCATAGGGACGTGTGCATGTGTGCTAGTTTGTGTGGAGGTGGGTGCACAGTTTGAAAACTCCCCTGGAGATAAATGTATTCCTATGGGAGCAGGGTGCTCTCTCTCTCCACCTCCCTCTTGAATGCATCACCAGCTTCAATTGGAATGGAAGACAATCAATCAATCAACCTATATTTATCTGTCCTCTTAGCTCTGCAGACCTGATTCTGGGTCCCTGGTTCTGAATGAGCCGCAGTCTGACCAAGATGTGTTCTAATCTCTCATTGAGTAGGGCTTGTGGTCTGTATGGGGAGATCATATCTACTCATCTGAAATAACCATATTATGAAAAGAGCCCAGCACAGATATGGTCAACTCATGTATTCAAAGTCACAGGGGGCACTGAGTGTCCAATGAGCTTAGGTGGGGAAACATGAGTCATCCGTGGAGGGCTTTATGGGCGGGAGGTGGGATTTCAACAGGGCCCTAGGAGGAGATGCTGTCATGAGCTCCCCCAACCTCTTGACATTAAGTGGAACAAACACATTTTAATGTAACCAATGGGCTGATGCGGGAAAAGGGCACAGCGAGTGGATCCTTGAGAGGTGGTCGGTGCAGGGTTAGACCACAGGGTCCATCTCAGCTACTCTGCTCCACTCTGCAGCCCCAGCACAGGAAGTCACACCTTAAAGCCTCCCCAGGCGGAAGTTGAGGGGGAGTTGGAGAGGTGATGGGCCACCCCCTCAACTGTCTCTCCACAGGCACCTCTAGCTTCCTGCGCCTCTCAGCTTCCAGGCCCAGGCACTGGGGCTGGAGTCTGAACCTCAGAGCTCACCCTTGATTCTGCTGTTTGCTTCAAAATGCAACTCCTAAGGACGGGGCTCAGTGGGGCCAGCTGGTTCCAACAATTGGTGCCCCCTGGTGGGGAGCCTGAAGGCTCTGGCACCCCGGGGTCAGAGAAAGTTGGCGTGACTTGCTATGGCTGTCCTTCCTTCCTGGAAATGGGTGTTCAGGGCGCTATAGATTCTCCTGTGCAGCCAAAAGGCTTGGTTGGGGAGGTTCTGTAGAGCCTCAGAATTGGCCCTGTTTCCTAAGGATTGTCTGGGGATCCCTGCGAGGCCCCCAAACCCAGCACCACTGGCCAGAACTGGGCAGGCTGTGGGAATGTGGTGAACTCAGCAGGGGAGGGCAGCCTTGGTTTGCTTTCTGCTGGAACAGGGAAGGTGTCAGGGGGCTGGTAAAGCGCCCAGGGAGCCAGTTTATCAGTGGGGAACTTGCTCAAACTGGAGGAGGAACCAGGGCGGGGCCTAGTCTAAAGGAAGGATGCCCGGGCAGAGCTGGCGGGAAGGAGCCGAGAGTCTCTCCAGGAGGGGCTTCTGACCTGATGGGAGGAAGCCAGAGGTCAGAGAGACTTCCCTTTGGGATGGAATGGGAGAGGGAGGCATTTCCCGAAATCTGTGGGCCAAGTGGAGCAGGGGTCCACTGCCTGGCTCTTTTAAGTGGAAGGAGAGGGAAAGGGGTTGAGTGGGTATGGAGGAGAGAGACAGCCCACTGGAGGAGGGGAGCAGATGGGGTCCCACTTGCTGGCTGGGCCTCTCTTTTTGCTGACTCATGACCTTTGAAGAGCTGGGGAAGCTGCAAGTTCCCTGTCCTCTCCTTTAGGTCCCCTCCCTCCTTCTGGCCTGAGTCACTGGGGCGGAGCTGCTGGGAAAAGATTTCCCTTTCCCGGATCTGACTTAACCCCCAAAGTTCTGGAGAGAGGGAGGCACACATGGCTCAGGAAAGCCGCTCTCCCCAGCTTCCTTCAGGGAGACTAATCTCTCACCGTCTAGAGCCCCTGAAAAGCTCCCTCCAAGGCTGTCCCTGGACTGGAGTCCCTGGTGCCTCCTCCAGTGCCTCTATCTGTTGGCTTTGCACCAAGCCCCCAGGATGGGATTTGAAGTGCCATTGACCTTAGGTGTTCCAAGCTCTTCTTCAGGGAAAAGGAACCACACTTTCAGGATTGGGAAGTTCTTCCCATAACCTGGACCCTGGAAGCCCCTGCCTTCTGAGGTCTGTTGGGGTAGTCTCACCCCTGCCTGTGGGGGTGACTGCTGTGCTTCTGTGTATAGCTTTCTACTTTTGTGGGTCTGTGGCTGAGTCTTGGGCTTCCGGACCTGCACAGCTGCAGCAGCAACAGCAGTGGAAGAGGCTCCCAGAGGATGACAGGGTGCCACTTGCCTACTTGCTCTGAAACTGGAGCTGTAAGGCTTGTAGGAATCTATAAGACTGGGTGACTGCGATGCTCTCCAGGGCTGCTCCTTCTGTGATCTTATTAGTCTGTGGCTCCCTAGGGTTACTTTGAGAACATCTTCTCTTTACATAAAGTGGCCTACAGCAAAGAACCAAAGAAAGAATCCAGGCAAAACCAGAACCTGGGAGAGGTCAAAGGTCAAAGGTCAAAGTATGGCTTAGAGCTAAATACTGGCTCTTTGTTTTGCTTTCTCCATACCGAAACCAGAACCAGGAAAGCCATTTTGCTGCTATGGGCTTAGCCTTCCAGAATGCTTGGCTGTGCAAAGGACTTTGGGACTCTCTGCCCCTCCACTCCCCCAGCTCCTGACATGGCTGTCATTTGAGCCTGATCATCCACCTCTGGCCCACTCATGCCTCCACCTGAACTTTCTCACCCTCCTACCCCAACCCCTGAATTTTAACTCTTCTCCCTGTAGTCCTTACCAATCTAGTGTGTGTGTGTGTGTATGTGTGTGTGTGAATTTAGTGGTGGAAGGCAGTGGGGTGTGGAGTGTGAGAACAGGGTCTTGAATAAGGTTTGATATAAATTTATAAAGATATTCTTGGCTGAGGGCATGTCAGTGGTAGAGAGCTAAGCATATTCTATTCCCCAGCACCACATACATGCAGAAAAATAATTCTTCCTCTTGCTTCTGCCCACTCCTAGGAATCATTTCACAAGAATATAACTTGCTTCCACCTCCATCTGAAATTTTTTTTTTGGCGGTACTGGGATTTGAACTCAGAGCTTCACACTTGGTAGACAGGTGTTTTGCTCAAGCCACACCTCCAGTCCTTCCATCTGACTTTTTCAGAATACTTTTTTAGTGGTATAACATAGCCCAGAAAAGTTCAGAAATCTGATTGTTGACGTATGTGAATGAACCTTGCATCCAGATGCAGAAATTATGACCTAATCTTCAGAACTTTTTGTTGGAAGAAAGGGCCAGAATTGAAGTAACCTCCCCTTTCCCAATGCACAAACATTCCTTGAGCTGCTGGGGGTATAACTGAGTGGTAGAGTGTACTCCACATGATCGAGGTCCTGGATTCCATCCTCATGGCTGCAAACTCCGACAACATTCCTTGATTGTCATTCCTGTGCCCAGTGCTGTTGTGTGCCATGAGGGAACTTTGATAGGGATAAAAGACAGCTGTCGCCTGGGACCTACTACCCCTGAGTTGAAGGAACAAAAGTTAGCAGACAGGACAACTAGAAAGTGAGGATGCATTAGATTGTACTTAGCCGACTGTCCAAGGAAGAATGTTTCCTAAGGAGAGATCTGAGCTGGAGAGATTTCAGATTTGTTCCCTCTAAGGCCCTTGTTCCTGCCTCTCCTGATGTCATCCCTTTTCTCTCTGATTCCTCCAAAGGTGCTCCTGGCTCTGCTGGTGGGGATACACTTGTCAGGGGTCATTGGATTGGTCCCTCCCCTCGGGGACCGAGAGAAGAGGGATAGTCTATGTCCCCAGGGAAAATACAGCCACCCTCAGAATAATTCCATCTGCTGTACCAAGTGCCATAAAGGTAGGAGAATGTCTCAGTTACGGGGCCTTGTGTCCTCCTTTGCTTATTCTGGATGTTCTAGAACCTGGGTTCCTATCCCTGTCTCCTCAAACTTTGCTGAGAGACGGTAGGGAAATGGCCCTGGATGGTTTGTTTCCTGAACATGGGGCTCCTTCCTTCAACTCACAGCTGTAACCTAACTCGGATCCTGTTCGCAGGAACCTACTTGCACAATGACTGTCCAGGGCCTGGGATGGACACAGACTGCCGGGAGTGTGAAAGAGGCACTTTTACCGCTTCCGAGAACCACCTCCCACGGTGCCTCAGCTGCTCCATGTGTCGAAAAGGTGAGCCTCCACCTCGGGAGAGGTCAAGGGCACCATGAGAGTGCATGGTGTGGAGACTCGGGTTGGCTGAAGTGACGCACACATGCGAGCCTGTCTGGGAATGTGCAAACTGGTGTTGATGGGTGTGGGCCTGTGTGCATGGGGTTGAGCGTGTGTTACTGAGACAGACACGCATGGTGCGAGGTGTCAAGGTGGATGTGGAAGAGGGATGCAGGACTCATGTCTCTTCTCCTCCTCTCACCAGAAATGTCCCAGGTGGAGATTTCTCCTTGTACCGTGGACCAGGACACAGTGTGTGGCTGCAGGAAGAACCAGTTCCGGGACTACTTGAGCGGAAAACATTTCAAGTGCACGGATTGCAGCCTCTGTCTCAATGGCACCGTAACTATCCCCTGTGAGCACAGCTTGCCCCAGCCCAAGCTCTCTCCCCACCCCAGAGTCAGCCCTTCTCTCAGGAGGAAGGTCTCCACCTTTCTGCATCCCTTCTGCAAGAAATAGTACCTCCTGTAGGTCTGAGGACCAGTTCTTTTCTAGCCACCCCCACCCTATCTGCCCCTCCTCCCTCCTCCCTGGTACGGGCATGTCTGCTTTAGCTGTGCCATCCTCTCCTCACAGGTCAGGAGCGACAGAACACTGTGTGCACCTGCCATGCAGGGTTCTTTCTAAAAGCAAACGAATGTGTCTCCTGTAGTAAGTGAGTATCTGCCTGCTGCTTGCTTCTGGATAGGGGTGGGAGGGGTGGCTGTGGCCGAGACGGGGAGGGGGACAGGCAGACTACTCAGGCTCTTACTGGCTGGCCGAGTGGGAATCACTTCATCAAGACACCAGACCCCATCTAGGTGTGGTGATGCATGCTTGTAATCCCAGCTACTTGGGAGGTGGAGCTGGAGGATTGCAGATTTGAGGCCAGTCTGGGCAAAGTTAGTGAGACACTGGCTTAAGAACAAAATACAAACAAAAGGGCTGGATCCATGGCTCAAGTGGTAGAGTGCTTGCCTAGTGCACTCAAGGCCTTGGGTTCAAACCCGAGTACTGTAAACAAAACAATAAAACCAAAGACAGCAGATGGTCCTTCTTCTTTTTCCCAGTGTGTCCCTCAAATATTAAGAAGTCTGAGAATAGAAGCTCATCCTTTATGACTTCCTTTCACCTTAGGCTCTCAACTTGGGCCACAGGGTCTTCTGTTAAACATTGATTTCAGGATATATACTATCACATTTCTGAAATCAGAATTCTGATTGCATAGTACAGTTCAATCAGCAACTTTGTGCATATGTGTATGTGTATGTGTGTGTGTGTGTGTGTGTGTGAGAGAGAGAGAGAGAGAGTGCCCATGTGGTGTCTGGCCTTAAATTCTTAATCCTCCTGTCTCAGCCTCCCAAGTGCTGGGATTATAGGTGTGTACCACTAGGCCCAGTATTGCCTCTTGGTATTTATAGCATCTTAGGTTTGATTCAGTATAGCATCTTCTTCCCAGTGTCCTTCACCAGGCCTCCTCATTCTTTCTGGCTCCACAGAGGCTGTTCTTGCACATTTGTTTGCAAAGAAGAAACTGAGGCTTTCAGAGTTGAACTGATCTGGGTTTAAATCCCAGCCTAGCCATTAACTGGCTGTGCAACCTTGGGAAAGTTATTAACATCTCTGAACCTTACTTTTCTTACCTTTAAAGTAAGGATGGTGGGGATGGGGGTATGGCTCAGTGGTAGAGTGCTTGCCTAGCATGTACAAGACTCTGAGTTGAGTCCTGGGAAGGACTACAAAGAAACAAACAAATAAACAAATAAAACAACAAACAAACAAAAAGACCCAAAAAGAAGCAACAAAGCAAAAAAGAAAAACAAAACTAAAAAGTAGTTGTTTTCCATTTTCCCCACTAAGCTTCATCTCCTCTTAAAAGCACTTTTACACCCATCCATGTCACTAAGAGCTTGTGATATGGGCAAAATACCTTTCTCTCCTTTCAGATTTCTGCTGAGAACTCAGGTTCCTGAGCCCTCCAACACAGTTCTTATCACCCCACACTGCCCAGTGGCAGCTCCCAACAGGGGAAGATGAACGGGTTCTGTAGAGGGCTCGCTCGCTCTTCTCAGTAATAAGCATTTCAGTATCTCTCATGTGTATATTTGACCTACCCTTCCTCAAGTCACATGCCATAGCTAGCAGTGTCATTTGAGAACAAGCCCTTTAACCTCTTGTGTTAGTTTTCTGTCACAATGACAAATACCTGACACAGTCAACTTGTAAAGAAGAAAGTTTTATTTTGGCTCATAGTTTCAGAGGTTTCAGTTAATGGTTGGTTGGTTCCTTTGTTTTAGGGCTTGTGGTGAGCCCGTATATCATGGTGGGAGCATGCTGTTTACCTCATGGCAGCAGAGGAGAGAGAGAGAGAGAGAGAGAGAGAGAGAGAGAGAGAGAGAGAGAGAGAGAGAAAGGCCAAAGTTCCATTATCCTTTTCAAGGCCACACCCCTAATAACCTAATGTCCTTTCACTAAAGCCCCACTTCCTAAAGATTCCACCACCTCCCAATAGCATCAGAGGCTGGGGACAAAGTCTTTCATACAAAGCCCTTGGGGGATGAACATTCCAGATTCAAACCACAATCCAATCAGCAAAACAATGATAAATAACAGTTCACTAACAGCTACCATATATCAAGTACTTAATATGACCACCGTAATTATCCTAATCCTCAATCCTGAAGGGTGGGTTGGGCCCTGTGGTACCTACTGTAGAGATACTGAGGCTTAGAGGTAAAATGGCTTGTGTTTCACCTTGATCTTGACTGCCTTTTTCTTCAGTCCTGTGGCTGGAAATGGATCCTGTGACCTCCTGCATGCTAGGCAAGCGCTCAACCACTGAGCTACAACCCCTCCCCAGTCCTATGACCTTGACTGCTTTTAACGGTTTTTCAACAGTTCCTTCCGGATCCCTTCTAATTCTTTTATTATTATTATTTTATTTTGGAGCTCCTGGGAGTTGAACTCAGGGTTTCACACTTGCAAGGCAAGCACTCTATCCCTTGAGCCTCTGATTCTAAAATTAAATGGTTGTGTGATTAACTATGTTTCATTCTTCTGCATCAATTCTTGAGATAGGTTAAATTCCAGTACATGGAATTTAATTGTCCCTACAAGTAGAGCCTGTGTTCACTAATGCGGTCTCTTTCAGCTGCAAGGAAAACCAGGAGTGCCAGAAGTTGTGCCTAATACTCCCACCTGAACATGTTAAGTCTCAGAACTCAGGTGAGGAAAACAGGCCCTGAGCCATACTCACCTGCCACTCCCTAACTCCTGCTTCCCATCCATCCCTGCTGTCTCCCTCTGCCTTCCCCTCTGAGCATCAACTGCTTTGTTGGCAGGCACCACAGTGCTGTTGCCCTTGGTGATCGTCTTTGGTGTTTGCCTTTTATCCTTCCTCTTCGTTGGTTTAATGTGCCGCTACCCGAGGTGGAAGCCCAAGCTCTACTCCATCAGTGAGTGGGAACTTTCGGAGGGAAAAGGTCTTGGTGGGATTCGGGGAGGGGATGAGGAGTGTCCCATTTAATTCGAGGCTTAGGACTCTGGGTGGCTGGTGGGAGATCATGTTGCATCAGTAGTTATCTTGTCCCTAGGGCACATAGTCCCTGAAGCATGTCACCACAAGTCTCCAGGGCCAGGGTGTCAGGGCTAAAAGGGAAGTGAAATTTATAACACTTTCTTTTTCCCCCCTCAGTTTGTGGGACGTCAGTACCTGTAAAAGAGGTGAGAAGAAACCAGGTACCCCGCCCCCAAACTTCCCTGACTGTTCTTTATCATCTTGTAATACCCAATCACCTGGAATGGGATGGGGGACTCCCTTAATTCTATCTAACCCTACCTCCACCCCCTCCAGAATAAAGAGAACTGGGGCTCTTCCTGCTCCCCCCAATAATGCTGTTCCTTTTCTCTTTCAGGGGGAGCTCGAAGGAATTAATACTAAGCCCCCAGCCTCAGCTCCAAGTTTCAGTACCCCCCTGGACTTCGGTTCCAGCCCCAGCTTCCCTTCCATCCCCAGTTCCCCCCTTACCTACAGCCCCACTTTCACCCCCACTGACTGGCCCTGGGCCGTGCCATCAGCCCTCAGAGAGGTGGCCTCACCTTACCAGAGGGCTGACCCCATCCTTCCTCCAGTCCTCACCTCCACGCCTATCCCTAACCCTGTTCAGAAGTGGGAGGACAGCGTCCAGATGCAGCGTCCCGATGGTGAGTTTGAGCTCCTGGCAGGGGCAGAACACCTGGAGGGCACAGGGCTGGGTGGAGAGTGTGCTGGGAGGCCTGCCTGCCGCTGGGGGCTCACAGCCTTTGTCCCCGCTGCAGACCCCGCCATGCTGTATGCGGTGGTGGACGGCGTGCCCCCTACGCGCTGGAAGGAGTTCATGAGGCGCCTGGGGCTGAAGGAGCACGAGATCGAGCGGCTGGAGCTGCAGAACGGGCGCTGCCTGCGCGAGGCGCACTACAGCATGCTGGAGGCCTGGCGGCGACAAACGCCACACCGCGAGGCCACGCTGGACCTGCTGGACCGCGTGCTCGTGGACATGGACCTGCTCGGTTGCTTGGAGAACATCCGCGAGACGCTGCGTGCCCAAGGCCACCTCAGATGAGGCCATGTCCCCCCGCTCTGGGGAGGGGCCTGCCCTGGTGACAGCTGCTTCCTGCCCAGGCAGTTCTGAAGGACAGTCCTGCAAGATGTCCTGCAGACCCCTCCTTTTCTGGAGGGTCTTGGAGGGACAGGCGCGAGCTGGCAGCCACTTGGTGCTACCCCTTTGGTGTACATAACTTTTCTCAGTGGCTTGAGCACCACCTGAGGGCCAGCCCTGTGTGCGTTGTGAGGTGTGGCAATTGTCTGTTGGTGGCTGATTGATGGAGCCAAAGGTGAATGGAACAGGTGGTCGCAGAGAAAAAGGGGCTCAAGGTCGCTTGCCCATTTTGGGTGCAGAGCACCCAGCAAGTCTGCTCAGGGGCCCTTGGTTGGTTCCTGGTCTTTTTCACAGTAGATAAGCAATTTTTGTATCAATCATAGTACACTAATGGAAACTTGTCACCGCTTTGCCTGGACAGGCACGGAGTAAGCTGAATTGTCACAAGGCAGTAGCAAGCACAGAACAATGGGGCCTCCAGTTGGAGCCGTGGACTTTTGTAAATACACTAAAACTTGAAATTAAACCTCTGGTCCTGGAGGAACTGGTCTGTTGGGGGAGAGGCCAGGGCAGAGGCCAGGAATCCTCATGAGGGTGGGATGGGAAATGACAAGGCCAGACAGTTGAAGGCCATCATGCCAGTGGACAGAGAAGGAGACTGTGCTCATTGTGTCACTCTGCTACCCAGGTTCTCTTTCCTTCCACCCTCATACATCACTGACCAAACAGTAACTTTTCTGTACAACTTTATGTGGGGCTCTGGGGTGTCTATGATACATAAATTTACAGCTCCTGACCCCCCCAAGTCCTCAGAGCAGGAGGCAGGCCCTGGGCCAGGATTTCTAGTGGGAAGTATAGTCCTTGAGGTAGAGTCCAGGGGTGGGGGTGTGACCAGCACTAAGGAGACATTTCCTCTGGGAGAAATGCCAAGGTCTCAACATTCCTCACACCTCTCTGAAAGGAAAGAAGGTAAGTGTTAGACAAAGGTCAATTTCAAGGAGTGTGAGGGTCGGGGCCTTCCTGCCTTCATCCCTATTCTGTACTGCCCTCTTTTTACACTGCCCCCCTTTCACCTTGTAACGCCCCCACCCCACAGCAGCTTCTCTTTAGCACTTACGAGGTGGACAGGGGTGTGTCCAGGTGTATAACATGGGGCTCCCGCATCCTCTGCAGCTGGGTCCGAGTCAGCTTCCGAGGCCTGGTATCCCTCGGATCTTGTGCTCCATCAATCCTTTGGCTGGCCAGATCCTCTCGGATCTCCCTGAGCATGTCCTCAGCCCGGAGGGGACGATGTGGGGTGGAATCATGGTGGAGGCCAAGGGGCTGAGGTTCCTCATCTTCCTCTAACGACTCCCAGGGGCTGTCCTCAGCAGAGTCAGTGTGGGCTGGGGAGTTGGGGAGCTGCCCCCTGAGTCGGGCCCTATGCAAAGTTTCTACCATCACATTCCCCGGTGCTGAGGTCCCCTCTTCCTCCTCAGACCAGTTGGGTGGGTCTACCCTGGGAAGGCTTCCTCCTCTTCTGATCTCTTCTGGCAGATCAGGGGCACTGCGGCGCTGGGGAGCTTGGGGGTCAGGGGGTTGGGGGCGCAAAGGAACATCTCGGAGTTCCAGGGTGGAGAAGGTGAGGCGAGGGTCCCTCCGAAGAGCCCTGTGACGTATACGACTCAATGGGGAGTAGGACTCCTTAGGGGAGCTTGGGATCAAAGTGCCATAACCGGAGTCTGAAGTATCGTCTGGTACAGAGGGAGCATCTTCATCCATGTCTTCAGTCACCACCAGGTGGGGGATGATGGTGGTGAACTCAGGAGTCCTACAATTAATTAATTAATTAATAGCCAACGGTCAAATTCAAGCCCAGGAAGTTTCCTTAGATTACTCCATCCAGATATGCCTCTCCTCCAAACTTATTTTCCTATCCTCCTCACAAGGCACTGTGATTGATTTCTTCATCTCGCTGGCTAGATGGGGTGCCCTGGTCCAGGACTTTGTATCAAGCAGATGGCTGTGTGTTTGCTGAGAGGATCTAGCGATGGATTCTTTTCTCTGTAAGCATGCTGCTTAAGGAGCTAGGTAATTCTGGATGACCCAAACCTCTTACGCTCTCTGAGGATTTGGACCTGCCACATTCCTGGTGTTCTGATATTCTGCAAATCTATACCCACCTTCCCTCTGGATTCTGTTCCTCCCAGGGAGTTCACGTCATGTTTGTTTCCTTCAGCCTATGCCCACCCTAGGCTGGCAACACTACAGACTGTACCACGCATCCCTTCACACAGCGGGTACCAACCTGGTCTACCCAACCTGTAGCCTGTGTTCCTCTATCTATGACAATCCTCCCAAGGCTGTATTGCCACTTCTTACTTAGCCTTTTGGGTCCCTCTCCTCTTTCCCTGCCTGTGACCCCTCTATTTAGCGGCACATGTGAATCTTACCTCCCCTCAGCGCTGCTCTGGGAGCCTTCCTGGGAAGGCGTGGAGGGCCTGGTGCTGGGGGACTCCCTGCCCTGGTCCCGATAGAGAGCCAGGAGCTCCCTCTTCTGTTGAACGTACTCCTCTGCCTTCAGTTTCTGCAGGGTGGCCTGGGGGGATGGGGGGTGGGAAGTATTTCTTTCATTATTAGGAGTTCTCATTTATTGAGCGCTTGCTGTATGCTGGGTACCATATTAAGTACTTTCATACATCATCTTGTTTAATCTTCATAACATCCTTTGAAGCAGATCTGTTTACTCCTACTTCACTGCTGAGAAATGGAGATTAGGAGGTTAAGTAACTGCCTGAGGAGTAGTCCTTACAGTAAGAAAGCAGGGCAATGCCAAGATGTGGTGGCACCAAGCTCTAGTGCTGGAGTGAGTGGGGTGAACAGAGAGCCCCTTTTCACCTGTACGATCTCCCCTCATGCACCTGAGCAAGCCCTCAGGTATGCCCCTTCAGGAAGCCCTCCCTGATAGGGTGATGGTGGCTATTAAGTGCTCTGAACAATACTAGTCCTCAGGTTGCTCTTTCTTTCTCTCCCAGTACCTGGGACTCCCTCCTAAAGCTGGGAGGAGGAAGAGATCTGAGGCTAGATAGGGGTAGGCTTTGTCTTAGGCTGAGGACTTGGCTGTCCTTCAAAGCAGTGAAATCAAGACTGTCCCTAAGTCAACTGTGGTGGCTCTTGCCTGTAATCCCAGCAATTTGGGAGGTAGAGGTCAGGAGGATCACAGTTTGAGGCCAATCTAGGCAAAAAGGGAGACCTCATCTCAACAGACAAGCAGGGATTTGTGGTGACACACTTCTATAATCCCAGCTACATGGGAGACATAGGTACAAAGACTGTAGTTCTAGGTTGGTCTGGGCAAAAACGTGAGATCCTATCTGAAAATAACCTAAAGCAGAATGGGCTGGGGGCATAGCTCAAGAGACAGAGCACCTGCCTAGCAAGCACAAAGCTCTGAGTTCAAATCCCAGTGCCACCAAAGGGCTGTTCAAGAAGGAAAAAAACACATTATGTTGCCTGTTCTTTCCTCAGCATTTTCACACAGGTGTACCAGAATCAAAGAGCATCATCTGAGAGGTGGTTTTTCAAAGCATCTCCACACACATTGGGCCATTTGGTACTCCATTACCTTGCAGGGTGGAAAGCCTGCCTGTTAGCTCAGTTAACAGGTGAGAAAACTAGACTTAAAGAGATGCAGAGCCCTGCTCAAGGTCACACAGGTAGAGAGAAGCAGAGCTGGATGGGCGCTGTGCTCTTTAAGTCCCACTGCAGTTACTGCACGACTTTTCAAGGGCAGACTTGAAGGGCCAAGATTAGTGCAGGATGTGTTAGCTTGGGGAGGAGGTGGCAGAGCCCTAGGAAAGGTTGGAGGTGGAGGCTGGGCAAGAGACAGGGTAGTAGTGGCTTCTGTGGGCAGTGCCGAGATCAGTACTCACTGGTATGGACATGTCATTAAAATATTGAAGTTTCCAAGTTGGTAAAGAAATGGCTTCAGCCTGAGTCTCCCACCTCTCTTCCCCAGGCATCCCCATACCATCTACCTAACAAGTAGAAGGATAGCATCTGGTACAGATGCTCCATTCAGGGAGCAGAACTCCATTCTGTCTCCCTGATGCCCAGGTTACAGTCCTTCCATATCTTTAATGTCTCCCCAGCTGAGGTATTTGAGCCTAGCCAGCAACTCTTGGCACCTGGGCTTTCTTAAAGCTTCTGCTGGGACACTGGAGTGGCTGGGGTGGGACAAAAGATGTGGAGGAATGACAAATAGGGGTAGGAAAATGACATCAGGTTGTCAGTCCAATTCTCCTTTCCTCAGGCTCTCTGGTCACCTAGCCAGAGCAGGGGACAGGAAGCCAACACACCAGCGCCAGTTCCCATGTCCACTCCCTCTTTTCCAGTCCCCGTCTCCCAGCTCAGTATGCGGTGAGGGAAGGATCAAGAGAAAGGAGGGTGGGGAGCCAGGGCAGCCTGTTTGTTCTGCTGATAGGCTTTTGCCTATCACATGCCTCAAGTTCAAGTTTGTGTTTGGGATGTAGAACGGAATGAAATAATGGGAAAGAAAAGGGGGTTTTTGTAAGGAGCATCCAATTGCCACTAAACTTGCCTGTTTAATGGAAGGGAGTGTGCATGTGTGTACTCCTTGGTCACCAGGGCAGAGGGCTGCCAGCCACCTCAAAATCTCTCCGGCAACCCTGCAGGATTTTCTCAGCTCAGGCAAGAGGAGAGAAATGGAGGGAGAAAGGGAAAAGGGCCCCTTTTCCCCAGTAGCGTTCTTCTTCCTCCTTCCCTGTGGGGAAGCCCTGAGACAGATGCCTCCTGCCCCCGTGGTCTCTGGTATGTGCTCCACATTCACCCGCTCTCTTCCCAAAACTGGACTGAAGCAGAACTCTAGGAGGTGCCCACTGACTTCCTGAGGGACAGATGCCAATGTCTTCCCCCAGCCCCAGCCTCACCGACCACCTGTTTCTTCTAAGGAAAACAGTGGTAAATGTGGATGGAGCACCCATGAAGTAAGTGCAGGACTGTGCCAAACACCACAGAATTTTCTATCACCCCGCATGGTGCTAGTGACCATTATCACTGTGGCTCCTCAGATGAAGATCAGGTTCAGAGAGATGAATAACTCACCAAGACACAGGGGATGAGCAGAGCAGAGGGCTCTGAACTCTCCTCTGGATCCTGGCTCTTATACTCTCCTGCCTTCTTCATTCTGCCCTGCTTTTGTTTCTTGGCCTCCATCTCTGACGGCTCTTTTGATTCCCTTCACTGGTTCCTTTTCCTCTTCCCAAATGCTAAACACGGGCATCTGTCAAGATTCAGTCTATTCCCCCTTGACAAGCTCATTTTCTCTAACAACATAAGCCATTTCCCATTAGGAGGGAAACTTTGCCAATATTCCCTGCCTCCAGGGCCTCACGGACATTATGTAGGTGTTCTACCACTGAGCTATAGCCTCAGGCCTCCCAGTATTTCTGCAAGGGAGAGGAGAAAAAAGACTGTCACCTCGGGAGGGCTTTATGAAGGGGTTCAGTTGATATTCTGCTGCCCTCTTCTGTGCATAAAGACTGATTCCAGCCAGGGATTCCCTAAGAATCTGGTATGAGACAATAGCAGAAATGTGAATTTCAGGGTTTCAGGCTTCATTATGCTGAGGACCTCTGGGAGTCTCTGTGCACAGTTTGGTCCTAGGAGCCAAAGTGACATACACTAGATCCACCTGCAGGAGGCTACCAGCATGTAGATTATTTTGCATGTAAATACCAGCAATTTTTAGTGGCTCCCAGGAGTTCTAAAGGGAGAAGGTGGGAAGGGCTTTGTCATGGGACTAGGAACCAAGGGAAGAGGAGAAAATTCTGCTGGTGGGATGGTAAAAAAGGCTGCCACCTTTGTAATGGCCACCCTTGCCCACTCTCCTTTGAGAGGCAGGGACTCTAGAAACAGTGAGGCTGGCTTCTGGTTTTCTCCTCTAGTGTCTCTCCAGTTCCCTAGCCTTCAAGAAAGCTTTGTGGAACCTGTGTTTAGGTTGGGCAAGAAGTGCCATAGAGAGAAGGCCTTGCCATGCAAAGAGGGGGTTACAGTTAGGTTGATCAGAGATCACCCTTGCCCCCCCCCCAAACCATGTGCCTCCTCTGCTTCAGTTCCTTCAATTTCCTAGGACCTGCCCTCATCTCATTCTGGTATTTAAGGAAGTGGCAATCCACAGAGCTGGATTAAAAGTATTACTAGGCTGGTGGAATGACTCCAGTGGTAGAGCGCCTGCCTAGCAAGAATGAGGCCCTGAGTTCAAACCCCAGTACCGCCAAAAAAAAAAGTAAAATTTACTACCTGGGGGTTGGGTTACTACATGTAGCTGAGTGGAAGAGCGTTTCTCTAGCATATACAAAGCCCTGGCTTTGATCCTGGATCCCCAGCACCATAAACAAACAAATAAGACAGAAAAAGTCCAACTCAAATATTAATCCCTCTTTTCCATTCTGCTCCTTAGTGGCTTGATTAGTGACCCTGAAAAAGATGTGTGTAAGACCTCACCATGAGAATCTGTACATGGGACCTTATTTGGAAAAAGGTCTTTGTAAACATGAAAAGATCCCAAGTTAAGGATTTCAAGAGGAGATCGTCCTGGATTTAGGGTGGATTCTAATGCTTGTGTCTTTATATGAGAGAGAGAGAGAGAGACTTAGACACAGATACTCAGAGGGGAAGGCCACATGAAGACAGAAACAGAGTTGGAGGAATGCTGCCCCAAGCCAAATACTTCTTGAAACTGCAAGTGGCATGAATTCTCCCCCAGAGCCTGGGCAGGGAGCTCAGCTCTGCCAATATCTTGATTTTGAATTTTTGCCTCTAGAATGGTAAGAATCAGCTTCCTTCCTTCCTTCCTTCCTCCCTCTTCCCTCCCTCCCTTCCTTCCTCATTTCCTTTCTCTCTTTGTTTCTTTTTTGTGTCCTGAGGATTGAACCCAGGGCCTTGTGTGTGCTAGGCAAGTGCTCTTCCACTGAGCTACACCCCAGCCCAATTTTGGTTGTTTTAAGCTGCCAGGTTTGTAGTATTAATACAGCTTTATTGATGTCTCCCCTTTTTTGAATTCCTGCTTCTGTCATGTAAATCTGCTCATGTCACTGCTGTATGTGACACCTTTACTGTCTCCAAGTACTCTATAGGAACAAAATTCAAGCTCTTAGTACAGCATCCAGAGATGGGCATGATCCAGTGGTGAGTACCTCCAGGACTCTCTTCTGTCAGGCCTGGCACTGTACTTCATGCCCTGGCAATGGTCAACTACAAGGTCAGTAGTTCTGTCAACACATGCAACCACGCTGTATTTCTGGCCTTTGCATGTTTGACTCCTCCATTAAGAATGCCCTTTCAAGGCTGGCGGAGTGGTTCAAGTGGTAGAGCACCTGCTAAGCAAGCATGAGGCCCTGAGTTCAAACCCCAGTATCACCAAAAAAAGAAAAATGAGATAATGCATATAATAGTACCTAGTTCAGAGTGAATGTACAGTAAGTGGTAATTCATTATTAAAAAAAAAAAAAAAGAATGCCCTTTCTCCCGCCCTTGTTCCCTTGACTTATGCCTAGGACTCCCCAAATGACCTATCATCAGCTCTGGTGTGATGGCTTTTCTCCTTTTCCTCCCCTACACTGTCCCTTTCCTAGCAGACCCATCTGATGGAATGCACTGCCCCCTTGTCTGTCCTAGCTCTCTTCTATATACCTGTTTCTATCATTTGTGCACCAGTTACTCTAACTGGGCTGTGTGAAGATTCCTTGAGGCTGGTGGTCTTTTAGTCTTTTCTGCTTCCCTGGCTTTCTTAGGGGTGGTCAAGGTTCTGTCCCCCTCTGGAGGGCACCCAAGGCAGTGATGTTCCAGTCTGCACCTGCATCCAGCCGATTCTCTCTGCCTTCCTACCCTGTTCTGTGGTTCCAGTCCTGCCCACCCTCTCTATGCCTGACTTTCACATACCTGAGCCTGCTGGGTCTTCTCCAGCCACCGTGCACGATCTGTTGAACTGGAACAATGCACCACCAGGGCACTAGAGACACACTGAAATTCAGTGAGGTGGATCACCAGGAAGCAGTCTAGGTGGAGGAGAAGGTCTGCTCTAGGGCTGGGTCTTATTTGACCTCCATCCCCATCCCTTCTTCCTCTTGCCAGAGGAAAGGGGAAGGAAAGACATACTGGGGTCTCGCAGTGGCCTGCACACAAGCTTCTCCAGCATGAGAGGGGGACGGATGACTTTGGCTTTGTCCACCTTGCGTTGGGGCTTGGTCACCAGGAGCACATCAGAGAAGAGGAACAGGTACACATCCAGCTGCAGGGGCATAAAAGAAAGAGATGATGTCAGGCTGGTGGAGTGGCTTAAGTGGTAGAGCACCTGCCTAGTAAGCATGAAGCCCTGAGCTCAAACCCCAATAACACCAAAAGGAAAAACAGAGAGAGAGAGAGAGAGAGAGAGAGAGAGAGAGAGAGAGGTGTCAACCAGAGCAAGGGGAAGAGAGTTGTTCACAGATTCAGGCTCATCAGAACATGTATGAAAGGGACAAGTGCAGAGCATGGAATGCTATGACCGAAAGAGTGTCACTTTGGTCCCACCTCTTGTTTTATAGGCACGAACAGAGCCCGGCTTAAGGTCATACAAACAATGAGAGTTTAGTCACAACAATGCTCCCTCCCCCTACTTTCCCATTTCCAGTTTTTTTTTTTTTTCTTTTTTTCCTCTGCAGTACTGTAAGTTGAACCCAGAGCCTTACACTTGCTAGGCAAGTGCTCTGCCACTTGAGCCATGCCCCCAGCCCTTTTGTTTGTATTTTGTTTTTGAGACAGGGTCTTATACCACTAACTTTGCTCAGGCTGGCCTGGAACTCATGATCCTCTTGTCTCTACCCCTCAAGTGGCACAGGGGTGAGCCACTGCGTCCAGCTCATTTCCAGCTTTTCTGACTTCTCCGTCTTCCTCCATGCCTCCCTTCCTTCTTTTAAGTCATCTCCCAGCTTTTCACTCCTGCCCACAGCCCCCTCACCTTCCCTTCTCGCCCCTCCTTTATTCGAACAGGCCCTTCCAGCAACAGCTGCCTGGTGTGCTCAGGGGCAACCCCTGGGATAGGAGATATCAGGTCCAGAGTGGAGAAAGGACGAAGGTTCTGAGGGACACAGAGGGGAGTGGATCAGTGCACATGCAGGTGGGTCTCTCTGTTCCAGCCCTCTCTGTTCTTCCCTACCTCGAACAAGAACAAGTACCCCAGTGTCTTCCCTTTCATTCTTTTCCACTCCGCCCCGGGATGCTCCCCACCAGGAAGGAATGAAGGGAGCAAACCTCAGTGACACCCTAGTACATGGTGTTTTGACCTCTGCCCCTTCCTTGGTGGGCTCCCCTGGGGCCTTGCATTTTCTGACCCCACTTCTCTCCGCCCTTTCTCACCTTCTCCACCTCCTCGCTGGATGGCTCCAGCACCTCATAGGCCCCAATGCGTTGAGCTGCAGCCACCAAGTTCTCCTGCTCTTCGCCCTGGCGGACCTGCCCATTGATGTGTCGCAGGAAGGACTCCACAGTTGCAATCTCAGTGTGTGGGGGGGGCAGTGCAAAGCAGGTATAGCTCATCCCCTTACTCTTACTCTGCACAGCCCACCCGACAGCCATAACAGAGGAACAAGACCCTCAAGTCTCTGGAGATCAATTCCCACCCACCAACCCCCAACCCCTAGGGGTCCAGGGCCTGGCAGAGCACCTACCATGGCGTTCAGGGCTTCTTGGGCTCTGGACTCTGGGCTCCTCTTGAGCACAGCCTGGAGCAGCAGTGGGTACTTGGTGATGCGCTGGTGGGGTTTGATCAGCAGGTCGCCCAGCATCTGTCTGCCCGCGCGCTTGTGCTTCTCGCACCACTGCCGGGGAAGATGGGCAGGGGTTCAGGAGTCTGTGAACACCCTCTGCCTGCCCCAATGACTAACTCCACCTTGGACCTAGTTGGAGCCTGGACAGGACCCAGCTGTCCAATTGCACCTTTCCCCTTCCCTCTCCAACCTGCACAAAGGTGTGGAAGAGAGGGTTGGTGTCTTGCTGCTCCCGGGCGTAAGCCATGGTCTTCTTCACTTGCATGCAGTACTGGACATAGGGCTGGAATCGCTGGCCAAACTGGAGGAATAAATATAGGGGGCCAGACAGCAACAGGTGGAAGAAAGCCATGAATACACAAGCTGCCTGCTGAACATGGGAACAGGGTGGGAAGAGAGCCTCACCTAACCCTTGGGGAAGCTCCTGCCAGTCTCTACCTCCCAGGATTGCTCTCACAGCCAGGCTCTTCTCTACAATTCCAGGGAGGAGCTGAGGCCCTAAGAGGTGGACCCATGGCTGCCCTTGGCGCTCCTTCTGTCCACAGTGTGTGCTGTGTCCTGCTGTCCTGTACTTACTCTCCCACCAACGATAACTCAGCTAGACTGTTTTCAGGACACTGTGACTCCTATTTCTGTGACCTGAAGGGTGCCTGCTCTGATGGAAGGGGACACCCAAGGCTCCCAAGAAACTGTCTCCTACCCCATGGCTGTGTAGCAATGTGGAAGAAAGTCTGATCCTAGGTCCACTTGCTTTCTCTTGACCACCAGGTGGGGAGAAAAGTATCCACACTTCAGGCACCTCTGTGACCTTTAACAATCCCCCCAAACATTCTAAGGGTTCCCTTGGTTAGGCCCATTCTTGTATGGATACAAGAATGGGTATCCAGCTGTTTGTTGATGGAGCTCTGTTCAAGAATTAAGATCTTTACAGTGACTAGGTGTGGTGGTATGTGCCTGTAATCCCAGCACTTGGGAAAATGAGCAGGTTTGACACTTTCCTAGGCTACATAGGAAGACCCTGTCTTTAAAAAAAAAAAATTGTAGAAGAGGGTTTAGCTGTATCCCCTCTCTGAGATACCTGCGTTTTATTTCATAAGGGCCTCCAGATGACAGAAGAGTCTTTGGGACTGGTCACACTTGTGGCTAGGAGTGCAGGACATGAGGGAGCATTTGGGGGTAGGGCTACACCATATAAACTCAAATCATAGAGGGATTGGAGTCTTATAGGATTTGAGTCTTATAGCCTGCTCCAGGCTCTCCCATCCTGTCCTCTCTGGCCTTCCTCAGGCTCACCGTTAGGAAGCCGCTTTGCAGGCTGATGGGGTTCAGAGGCTGGCCAGAGGCGCGAGTCTCCTCCAGGGACGGCTCCAGCACCTCCTCCCAAAAACTCTGGTGGACTCGAATCAGGCTGGGGACATTTCCAAAAAGAGTCTCAACTGACACCTGGCGGAAGGAGCAGAACTGAGCGACAGGCCTTTGACAGGTTGTGTCAGCAGTGAAGGCAGGGACTGGCAAGGACCCTAAGCTTAGATGGTGAAGGTGGGGAGGGAGGGGTGAGTCTGACAGCACGGGCCTGGAAGAGCCAAGGAGTGTGGCTTTCTTTCCCGTCCCTGTAGCACTTCAGCCTCAGTGAGCTGAGTCCTGGGAAGCTGGGGGTCTGCTGGGGTCTAAAGCAAGCAGGGAGTAGGAAGGGCAGGGGTGTCTCAGAAAACAGGGTGGTGGGGGCTCGGCATGATGGTGCGTGCCTGTAATTCCAGCTACTTGGGAGGCAGAGATGGGGAGGATTGAGGTCTGAGGCCAGCCCAGGCAAAAATGTGAGGTGGGACCTTACCTGAAAAATAACTAAACAAAACACTTGCCTAGCAAGTGTAAAGCCCTGAGTTCAAATGCCAGTACTGCCCCACCAAAAAAAAGAAAAAAAGAAAGGAAGGAAGGAGAAAGAAAAAGAAAGGAAGGAAGGAGGAAGGAAGGAAGGAAGGAAGGAAGAAAGGAAGGAAGAAATAAAGAAAAAGAAAGAAAGAAATGGGTTGGTGGGAATTCAGACTGGGCAGCTGAGTGGGTGAGGGGGCTCCATCTGACCCCACTCCCCGAATTCCCACTCACTTCCATCAGTAGTCCTACTCTCTGCAGGTTCAGCAGACCAGCTGCCAGGAGCTAGATGCAGGAAGGGAGGCAGGGTCTCAGTGTCTGACCATACTCCTCTTGACCCTGAAGGGTCACCTCCCCCACCCCACCAACTTCCACCTCTCTCCCCTGATCCTGAGCACAGCTGAAATCAGGAGAATTGATTGGAGCCCTGTCCTTCCCTCCCCTAGCCTCCTGCCCCTTCTGGATTGGGAGAGTGGGGCACAATGCAAGGGATCCCTTAGACAGGTGCGTAGGACCCAGAGGGGCTCACATCAGTCATGATCTTCAGCTTTCTCACGTAGATCACCTCTGTGGTCAGGAGCTCCCACAGTGCTTCCTGCTGGTGGCAAAGCTCTCGGCTCATCTCCTGAGGGGACAGTGCTGGGTCACTTGGGGAATAACAGTAAGAGCACGTACCGTTTATTATGGGCTGCTGGATCTGCTTTGCAGGTTCTGGGCCCTCTATTCATGACCTTGGGTTTTAAACCAGTCCTCCAGTATGTAGGTGGCATGATCTCCGTTTTACAGATGAGGCAACTGAGGCTTGGAAATGTCCTCAGACTTGACCAAGGTTTCACAAGTAAGTGGCAGAGATGGGCTTTGAACAAGATCAAGGAGTCTCCCTGTTCTTTTCCACCTGATCCCATACCCCAAGACCTGTCCCTCCTCTGGGGCAGAAGTGAGATGTGTGTTTGCATATATGTCACATCATGGGAATAGACACCAATTCAGGCCCACCTTGTGTCCAGGCACCAGCTCCCTCCAGGACTTCTCGATGGTCAGACCACTGTCACCACCCTCTCCTATTTCCCAGTGACTCCGGTCCTGAGGGGGCAGGCGGGGCATCCCAAACATGCTGAATGTGTGCAACCTCATCTCCAGCTGGTGGGCCTTTGTGACTTCCTGGGAGGGCAGAGAAGAGGGTCAGTCTTCCACACCCTTGGCACACAGCCCTGGCTCTGGGAAGTATGTGTGCATGTATGTCTGGGCTGGGAAGCGGCATGCAGCACAGATATAAGTGAGGACACAGAGCCTTGGGGACAGGGACTGGAATTCCAAGGGAATGGGCATTGCTAGAACATAATTGGAGACATGCATTGGTCTGCAGAAAGCTCCCTGGGCAGGGGGACCTTATGGAGACTTTCTGACTAGAAAGATTATCTCCAAGGGTCTTCAGATTCAGAACAGAGGTGTGTGTGGAGGGGTGGGGGATGGGGGAGGCAGAATCAGACTCTTTAGAGAGATTTTCAAGTGAAAACTAGAACAGAACCTAAGAACTATGGTCTTAGGCAACTTTTTTTTTTTTTTTTTGGCAGTATTGGGATTTGAACTCACGGCGTCCCCTTGCTAGGAAGGAGCTCTACCACTTGGGCCACTCCACCAAGTCCTTTTTTGTGGGGAGTATCTTTGAGTAGGGTCTCTCAAACTATTTGCCAGGCTGGCTTTGAACCACGATCCTCCTGATCTCTGCCTCCTGAGTAGCTAGGATTACATACATGAGTCAACAGTGCTGGCTCAGGTAATGTTTTGATATTTGCCCATAAAATGAAGGTTTTTATGAATTAGCATGCTGTAAATTTTACAACTGTTTTTGGTGCCAAGTAATGCAGGAAACAGTATTTTTGATGCTCATTCTATCCTCAGTGTGGCTCAGGACGGGGGCAGGGCTCAGCGCTGGGGAGAAGGATGTGTGAGATTTGGGGATGGCTTACACACTACTTAGGAATTTCTAAAAGTTAAAGACTCTTGGGGGGAGTTGAACTCAGGGTCCCCCATTTGCTACGCAGGTGCTCTACCACTTGAGTTATACTCCCTGCCCTTTTTGTCTTAGTTATTTTTCCTAATGGGGTCTTTCATTTTTGCTGGAGGGCTGGCCTGAACTGTGATCCTCCTACCTATACCTCCCTCAGGGCACAGAGAGCACCCTCACGCCCTGCTTATTTGTTGAGATAGGGTCTTGCTGACTTTTTGCTCAGGGTGGCTTCTTACCTTGATTCTCCCTATCTCTGTCTCCTGAGGAGCTAGAATTTACACCCAGCCAAAAGTTGGAAGTTTAACATCAGCAGTTTATCTTTTAAATTGTATTAAAACATCTCAAGTCAAAGTCACTAGGTCCCATGCTTTGGCAAAGTACAGAGGTGTTCTTTTGGAGGGGCCTTTAGGCCGAGGCCCCCCTTGGCCCATGTTCTCAGCCCCAGGGCCTCTCCAGACCCAACTCTCTGCGGAGGCCATCACAGCTGAGGCTGAGAATGTGGGGATGAGAGCAGAGGGAACCCTTACCTTGAGTCTGGGGGAAAGAGGTGGGCCAACCATATAATAGACTCCATGCTTCTTCTGTGGCTCTTCTCGAAACACTGTGGGAGCCAGACCTCTGGCCTGGCTAGAACCCTTGGTAAAGGGGATGTAGTGTCCGCGATTGAGATCCTGGAGGAGAGGTGGGGAGAGTTCTGGGGGTGACCAAAGTAGCAGAGAGGTAGAAGGGGCCAGGCTTAGCTCTGGATGTCATCCTCACCCTTGCCAGTTCGGTTGGCTCACTGTTCTCCTCAAACCAGTTTGGTGTGGGCTGCTGCTACCCTGAGTCACAGAGACTGCTTGCCAGGGAGGCCAAGCTGAGCTGGGCAGGGGGGCCTGGGAGCAGAAGCAGGGACCTCCTCCAGAGCAGGCACACAAGCACACACATGTGTGGGCCCTGGAGTGTGTACCCAGCATCTACCAACTCATGCCCATGTCCTCTGAATGGGGTGGGTGGGAGAGAGGGAGGGCTCTCAGGGACAGCACAGGGTGCATACTGCATTCTAAGTTTCTCACAGCTTCTCTGGTCTGTGACCTCCTCCCTGGGATGTGCAGCTGGGTGTCCCATCCAGCTGGGAGTGGCTGTCTTTCTGTGTAAGAGGTTGAGGCTATGGCCGCAAGTCTCCTCCCAGGGCAGGCCTGGTCACATTCCTTGTCTGCCTTAGTCTGATTTACCCCTACGTACTTCCTAGTGTCCCTTCCCACTCTCTGCTTGGGAGAGTCCCCATTGCCATGGACTGAATCCTCCTCCAGGGAGGCAGCCAGAAGCAGAATTCTTCTCAGGGTGGAGGGAAAGCCTGGAGGTTGAAGGACAGTCGGAGCCACACCCCTTTCCTGGTCAGGCTCGAAGGTGGACCAGATGGGTGGAGCCAGGGGTGGAGCCAAGGCAGGCCCCATACTTTTCCCAGCTGGGAGAGCCTCAATGGGGACACCCTGAACCTTTGCTCCTCCTCAGCCCTGACTCAGAGGGAGGCTCAGGGAACCCTGGACTCCTCCCAAGTAGAGACAGGGAGGTGCTTTTCCCGCAGAGCCTCAAATCTATCTTAGAGCATTTCCTCTGTGTGCTTGGCTCCTCCAGCTCTCTGCCTCTACTGCCCAGTCTGGGACTGGGGTGTAAAATCTTGGGAGCCTGGCCCAGGCCCTGCCCTCCTCTCCCCCACAGTCCTGGAAAGAGGAGGCTAAAGGACAAGAATAGAGCAGCCTATGAACTTATAAGGAGACAGAGACTTCAAAGCCTGGGTGTCCTCCCTCCTGCCCCACCCAGGTCACCTTCTGGACACAGCCTGGACTTACCAGCACAGGGCCTCCTCCAGCACAGAGTCTGTCAGCAGTGCTCTGGGCAGAGGCCCGATGCCTGCCTCCATAGGTCTCAATTCGGGAAGCCACCAGGCCTCGCAGGGGGCCCTCGTTGGAAGGGCCAGAGGCCTGCATCCCTTATCTCCTGGGTCACCTCCAAAGGGTCATAGCTCCAATGTCCAGGAGAAAGATGACCCTGGAGGCTGCAAGAGAGAAGAAAAAGGAATAGAAGGCCAGGTTAAATCAGTGGATAGTATGAGGTTGGAGACCAAGGAGGAGTGAGAAGATAGAGTGAAATGGAGTCAAGGGCTGCTTGTTGTTGGTGGTGGTGAGGGCAGAACTGCTTATCTATTACCTGGTGGGAGTAGGGCAGGTCCAGGCCCATGCTGGGTAGAAAGTCCCTGGAGACACACTTTCTCCCTCACCTATGTGCACATTTGAGTACAAACTCCCACATTGGCCTCAAAGGATGCTGTAGACCTAAGGGTAGCTGGGAGCAAGGGTCAAAGACAAGCCTCTGGTGCTCTAGATTTCCCCAGGTTGAAGGATTCCCCTTGTACCTAGACACTCCCTTCCCCATATATAGCCTCGGAAAAGCTTCAGAGAGGCCATGGTGGAATGGGGCAGGGGTGGCTGGAGACTGTCCAATCTGTCATCCATTTTTTTTTTTTTGTACAGCCAGAGAGTGAAGAATGGCATCTATATTTTTAAATAGTTGAAAAAGGTGAAAAGAAAAATAGTATTTTGGGAACAGTGAAAATTACATGAGATTCAAATTCAATTCAATGTGTATAATTGCGGTTTTATTGGATTCAATGTGCATAACTACAGTCTTATTGGAGTACAGCCACTCTTACTGTCTGCGACCGCTTTACTGCTAGTTGTGACAGAGACCATATAGGCTGCAGAGTCTACAATATTTACTGCTGGCCCTTTCCTGAAAAGTGTGCCCAACCCTTACATGGACCATCCTGGTCACATACAAGGAGGTGAGGTGGGAGCAGCCATCAGGCTAGATGCACGCCCCTCCCCCTATATAGCCTGGAAAAACTGCAGAGAGGCCATGGGTGAGGTGGGACAGGGGACTAGAGACCGTCCAGATTGTCATTCACTTTTGTACAGCCTGAACGCTGCAGTCTACAACAGAGATTAGAGGCTAACCCAGCAAAAGAATGCTCCCTCTCCACCAAGGAGCTGGAAGCCAGGTGTGGGGTTCCATCCCTCCTCCCTCAACCTGGATGGAAGAGCCACCCGCAGAGTAGGCAGGACCTGGAGAGGAGAGGTCCCCTAAGGGGAGGTGGGTTCAAGAGGCTGCGCAGATACCGATCCCCACCATGTAGGTCTGAAACCCACTACTCAGTTCTCCCCTTACTTTGTCTCTGATTTATGCGCACAGAAGAGTGCTCAATGTTTCTCCGGCTTCCTCCCGATATCTCTCCATCTCACCTGTTTCCCCACCTCACCTCTTCCTACCCAGGGTCCTTTTTCCGTTGAGGTCCAGGTTTCTCTTCCTCCTTCCCTCGGGAGGCCAGATCTTCGCCCCCGGCGCCCCACTTCCCACGCCCCGGGTCCCCTACCCGCCCCGCCCCCCGCCCGCCCAGCGTTCCCGCAGCTTACCTGTGTGCGCAGGTGTCCCGGCGCCCGCTGTCCTCGCTGCCGGCCCCCGCCCGCGGGGCTCCCGGTCGCTATCAGCCTCAGTGATGGCAGCCCCGCTGCCCAGCTTGGGACTGGGACGAGCGGCCCGAGGGACCCGGGCAGCGCTGGCCGGGCGGGGAGGGGAAGGTGGAGGGAGAGGGGCGGGGACGCGGGCTAGGACCGCCCCTCCCGCGGACACCGCACGGAGTACGCTGTAAGGCCGCCACTCCAGCCCCGGGGGACAGATGAGCTCCGATCCCAACGCATCCACCACCTCGGCGGCCAGAAGAGCTCACTTAGCGGTGCGCGCCTTCCTCATTTTCCTTCGCACCTGAACTGACCACCCATCTGGCCCGGGCGGAAGGGCTGGAACGGCGCGCCACCCTCATGTCCTCCTTTCCTGGCCAGACCCTCGCGTGGCGCCAGAGTAATGAGGGATAAATGAGAGGCTGGGCGCAGCTGGGAGGAGGCGGCGGGAATAATGACCGAGTGACTTGTGGCAGTACCCACCACTCTTTCTGAGCGCAGTGAGTGGCCAGCTCCCCTCCTTCTTCCCTGCCTGTCTTAGACCGTTAGCCAGGCTAAAGGAGGCAGCCTGGCGGCAGGAGGGTGTGGGGGCCCAGGGATTACCGGCACCCTCACTGTCCTCTGGCCCCGGAGTCCAAAGTGTGGCTCTTATCTCTCAGTAGGTCATTGCCTGCCCTGGCAACAGGGTGGAAGGCTGTCTGTGGACTTTGCCTTTGCTGTAGGGAGGGGTCCAGGGGCCAGGCTGAACCCGGACTCAGTGCTTTCCCTGTTAACGAGGACTGGGGTGGAAAGATGGGGACACCCTCCCACTTCAGTGGCACATGGCCCATTGGGGCCTTCCTAAGGATCACCTGTAGCCGCTCTAAAACACATTTTAAAATCATGTCACTCATGGGACAGAAGTGCTGGATATATGAAATCATGGGTGCCCTATGGATGCGTGGTCATTATAACCCTACAATCATGAAGCCCAAACCCTGTGGGGGGGACTAGTGGGTCTGAGGCACCACCTGTGTCTAACCTGCTGGGTTAGACAGTGATGGATACAGCCTGTAGTTCTGGAGCACCCGGAAGTTCATTTACTGGGCCACCAGTGAAAGAGTCCTCATCCTCCTCTCCTATCTGGCATATTAAGCGATAAATTATCAGAATGTTCCAGTCCTCACTGACTGACAGCTTTATTTGATCTGGAAAGGAATCTTTACTTATTATTTGGTGGTTCTGGGTTTGAACTTAGGACCTAGCATTTGCCAAGCAGGTGCTCTATTACTTGAGCAATGCCCCCAGTCCTCTTTATTTTAGGTAGGGTCTTGTATTTTTTCCCTGGGCCTTGATTCTCCTATTTATGCTGCCTGCATTGCTGGGATGATAGGTGTGAGCCACTATGACCAGTGAGGAACCTTATCATCGGATGGTTTCAAATTTTGTGTTCCTGCCTGCCTCAGATTTTTTTTGTGGGGGGGTACTGGGGTTTAAACTCAGGACCTTGTGCTTGTGCTCTAACACTTAAACCATGTCTCCAGCCCCTCCAGTGTTTTTTTTTTTTTCTTTCTTTGTTTTGTGGGACTGGGGTTTGAACCTAGGGCTTTGCCCTTACAAAGCAGGCATTCTACCTCTTGATCCATGCTTCCAGTCCATTTTGCTCTGGTTATTTTGGAGATGGGTGTCTCGAGAGTTATTTGCCTAGGCTGGCCACAAACTTCGATCTTCCTAATCTCAGCCTCCCAAGTAGCTAGATTTACAGACATGAACCATGGCACCCAGCCCCTCCAGTGATTTTTCACTGAGCTTTTGTTCTGAGGTCAGAACCCTCTGCACTTCTGGTCCTCTGGATCTTGTCTCCCAGTTGATCAACAGGACCAGTTTTAGTGGGTAATTTAGTTAAGACAGGAACTATGGTCCTGAGAAACCAGTGTTTGCTTATGCTGAATTTTTCACTGTGTGTGTGTGAACGTGTGCATGTGTGTATACACATGTGTGTTGAGAGCTAAACAGTGAGAAACAGAGAGAGAAAGATAGACAAATCAAGGCATGACAAGAGTAGCCATTACGGAGCGAGAGTTAATGCACGAGGAGGTGGTGATTATTGGCAGTATTAAATGACACTCCAGAGACAGCTGGTGCCAAGGGTTCCTAACTTCTCCTCCCACTGTCTCCCAGAGGAGGCAGAAGGAGTAAGAGGGAAATGGAAATGAGAGGGCACCAGAGACAAGCCTGGACTCACAGTGCCCTGGGGTGAGCTGGTGAAGCTGGTCCAGTGGACTCGGGAGAGTTAACCCTTTCACTTCCCTCAAGGCTAAGGTCCAATCTTCTACCAGTGCCTCAGGGCCTGTCTTCAGCCTCCTTGGGAGGAGAGGTTCCCAGGGAAAGCTGGAGTCTAAGAGTGAGAGGTGTGGCTGGGCACAGGTGCGTGGGCTGGCAGGTAGGGCTTGCCTGATCCATTCCTTCTATTCTGACCTTGTCTGATTATTCCTCTTACATCCTCCATTTCCCACAGCCTCTTCTGTACTGTGGAGAATAGACTCCTGTGGCAGGCCAGGAGCGCAACAAAGCACAGAGAGCTGAATGGACCCCATCCCACTAAAGAATTGAGAGATTGGAGGCTAGGCTTCTATTGAGTGGAGCTGTTGGTCACCTGGTCCCTTAAGCAGGGTGGGCCACCTGGATACTTGTCTTTCTTCCTGGTTGCCCAAGACTTTTCTCACATTCATAGCTTAAACCATATCCCTTCTCCATGCCTCAGTTTATCCCGTAGTACACATGATGCCCCTTAGGTCCCCAGTTTGGCCTAATGGCAAATGAGAAAGTGTCTGTCTGTCCAGAGTCAGAGCTTCTAAGGTTCAAATATCTCTATCCAATAGTAGCCTAAGAGCAACTTTTTGGGCTTGGCTGGGGGCTCACCAGGCAGGAAGGTGGGAAAACTCACCTGGACTGGAGCTCTACCAGCCCACACCTCTGGAGTGGGGTGGGGCTATCTGAGTTAATGAGGTGCTAAAAGACAGGAGCAATGGGAGGCAGCCAATGGGAATTTGTGTCCCTGCTCAGAGTGGGGGAGAAACTTGGACTTGAACTGAAGGTGCCAGGTCATGTGAGGCAGCTACATCTGGTCATATGACCAGCTGCCAGTGCCTGAGACCAGAACTGGTGCCTTCTTTCCTTTTCTCTCTCTCTTCCTTCTACCTGCTTACCTGTGCAAGACACAAAAAGTCTGGAGATAAGTAAAGAACAGTCTCAGGCCCAAGGGGGGATGCAGACTCATGGACAGACAGGCTGGTAAACAAAACACTGATATGGTAGACAGAGGAAGAATGAGCCGGAAGAATGAGCCAGAAGTTGTTGGGAACACGTTGGAGGGACCAATGACCACATAGGGGAGGCAGGGAAGGCTTCCTGGAGGATGTGAGCTTTGTGCCTGAACTGTAAGGATGAATAGGAGTGTTTTTAGATTACTGGAATTTCCCCATAACTTCAGTCAGGCATTCTTGGTTCATTACTGTCACTTCAGCATTTCTTTTATGTGCCTTCTAAAGACTCCTGATCCCTTAGGATAAACAGGCCTCATAAATTTTACCCTGCAGGCCAGTTCTGGAGGGTTGGTAGTGGTTTCCTAGAATGCTGGGTTAAACCAGGTCCTCTGGATGATGGTGGCGCAGTGGGAAGGGTGCTATAGGTACTTAACCATGTCTTTCTTGAGAAAAGATGTGAACGTGCCAGCTACTTTCTTCACCTTCAGCCAAGTCTGGGGAGAAAGTGACAATGAGAGGCCTTTGTCACTGGTGCAATTTGATAAGGGAAGTGAGTAGAAGAGGAGATGGGGGCTTCAAAGACACAGTGAACTTGGGCAGACCTTGGAGCTGATGTCCAGGTCTGAACTTTGTCTGTGCCTACTTCTGCTCTTGACCTGTGGCCCCAGATGACTGTGGACTCTTACCCAGATCTGTAACTCCTTTGTGTGGCTCAAGATCCCAGTGGTTCCTTATCAGGTGAGGCTCAGGCAATAACACTGAATTCCCTACTTGTGGGGACACTCCTCTCTTCTCTTCCTTCAGACATCTGGGGCCTTCAGGACTGACAAGAATACATCAACATTTGAATGATTTCTAGGTGCCTTTTGTTTCTTGGTTTTCTGTCTGCCCCATTACATCTGGAAGCCATGGCTTCCCCTAGTGGCGTCTCCTGGAAATACAAATAGATTTGCTTTGGTTTTGAGGGACAGGCTTGGACAAGCCCCAAGCCCTGACCTTTTCCAGTTGGAGGGAACCCACATAGCCTTGAAGCCTAACATTTCTCCTTGCAGGGGTCCCTGCCTCCGCCCAACAACCTCCAGGGAGGTTCCTCCCAGAGTCGTGCTTTGGTTCATGTGTCTCTGATCTGCACATGGTCACTTCCTTTTCCTTCAGTCCCTGTTCTTCCAAATGCTCATTGATTTCCTCCATCAGTTCTGTGCTGACTCTGGGTCTCCTAGGGCTTTGCAGCCTCAGGCTGCCTCCACCGTACACATAAGTGTGCAGCTTAAGGCTCTGAGTCAGTCTTTGCCTCCCCCACCCTGGCCAATTTTAACTAGCTCTGTGGCCCTTGTCACTTAGTCTAGGGTCACAGCGAACTCTTGCTCATGACACATGTCTTTTGCGGCCCATTTGCTAGGGTGGCTGAGTATCTCAGACCATCACTTTAGCCACACCTTGCCCAGCCCAGGAAGGTGGGCAGGTATTTTCCTCATAGAGTACTGAGCTCCAGCTCCATAGTTCTAAATCATTATTTCTAATTTAATTTGACAACCCTGATTTTCAGGAAGTTCTTTCTGGTTTTTCACCCACATAGCTCCAGCTCAAGCTTAATTTCCTCATGTTCTGGGGAATGAATGTCTTCTTATCAGAACCTCTCTTGCTATAATTTTTTTTTTCCCCAGTGGTACTAGGGTTTGTGCTGTTAGGCAGGCAGTCTACCACTTGAGCAGGCTGCTAGCCCTTTTTGC